TCGTTTATTTACTAAAGATGAAAGTTTGATATTTACTAAATTATTTATAAATTCAATATAGAAATAAATATTACAGTAATATAGTTTTTTTAGTAAATAAATGTTTATTTAAAATAAAACTGTCAGCAAGTAAATGCATAAATATTTTTTTTTAAATAAGCCATCCATTTACAATAATTTATTTACTAAATAAAGATACTAGTTTATTGTAATATTTATTTATTTACTTTTTGCGTACTTGTTTAATTACAGAAAGATAAGACTTGTTTTAAATATTTTTAATAGTAGTTAAATAAATGACATTGGTAAAGGAAATAAATATTTATTACAATAAAAAAAATCATTTTAGTAAATAAATAGATGTTTTATATAAAATAAGACTATATTATCTGTATTTAGTAACTACGTAAGTACATACGTAATGAATTTACAATATATTTCCATTTATTTACTAAATAAAGGTGATAGTTCTATTTTAAATATGTATGATGGTTCTGTAGTAATTAAATAATTTAGTTTAGTAAAGAAAACAAATACACATTTATTAAAATATAATATTTTTCTTTAGTAAATACATGCGCAAATATTTTAAAACAAAGCTATTATCTGTATTTAGTAAATCAAGAAATACATAAGTAAATAAGTATTGTATGAATAAACATGTATAAGAAATGTATAAAACAAATAAATTCTTATGTAAATAAATGCATAAGGAATTACATAGATATCACAAATAAGACTATATCATCTTTCTTGCATGTATAAATTTGGCAGTTGTTAAATCTTGCTAAATGCAGTGATTCCTGATCCTATTCATCTGGTTACCATGGCAACCGCAGCAGCTCCAGTGCATCCCAGTGATCTGTCCCAGAATGCTCTGCTGTTGTTTCCCCAGCACAACACACAATCTCGACTCTGAGTCGTCCCTGCCAAATAACATACAGGATTTCTCATTTAAAATGACTTCAAAGGACGCAAACATGCAAGGCACACTTTCAGTTTTCTTTTAAAGAGGATCATTTGCGGATTAAGCTGGCAACTAGATTTTGACTCAACTAAATCTGTTTCTAAAGTGAGGGATGAAACTTCAAGTTAAACCCTGATACTGGAAGTCAATCAACTGACTAAATTAGTCGTCTTCTGGTCTAAAATATAATGTCCTTTATAGTTCATACCATACTTTAGGTGTTCATGTGACATTATAATGTTATGTTAGCATGTCTGGTCAAACTCACGTTATCATTTATGGCAAGCAGTGGTCATTATTATAAACATGCAGAGCAGAAGACTTCCTGTGAGCGTTCTCATGCACTAAATATCTAGCACTGTGACTCTGGAAAAGGTCCAAAACAAGCACCACTTCAGATCATAAAGTCCCTGTTTTTTCAGACTTCCTCTAATTAACATTATGACCTTTCTGATGATGTCATCATGCTTTAGCCCAGCATTGACGGCTGTGATTGGTTGATTTGTGCACAGAGACTGAGGAAATGGATTGCAGTGATTGCCATGGTTATGTAATGCGTGTTATGAAGCAGCTGTTCAGTGTGACTGACTGCCAAAGCCAATCGCATGGTCCCAGAAGCCCCTTTGCGAAGATCTGGACATTCAGAGTAGAAAGCATTCTTAGACACTGGCGGTTTGTATAAATTAAACTCACTAAATACTAAAGGAAATGAAGTAGACCTGAATAAGTTGGCAAAACACAAACAATGTGAGGTAATCAGATCAATTACATAATTGTTTTTAAATTAAGAAAAGTTTAAGAAAAATTAATATTTTGAGTATGCTAATTAATTCATTCATTGAACTTAAAATGATTATGTAATCTCAATTTAAATATGTTTAGAGGAAACTTGTATAGCTTTAACTAGCTAATTCAATAATGCTTACTTGCTAAATGGTAGTACAATGCTTTGATAGCATTAGCATAGCATAACAATTGCTGAATGAGTATGGCATTATAGTGAACATTTAATATACCAGACTCATGCTCCACTTGCTCGCCATGATGGTAACTCCAAAAAACACAAACTGAAGAAACTCAAGAAACTCTTCTAAATTAACATAGCAAAGGATTAAACTAAATCCCCAATTTAACATTAATCTTGCACAAAAAAAAACAAAACATTATATAACACTTAATGTTAGCATTTGCTATTTCTTTTCGAGTGCCATGGCAAAGCATGAGGTTCAGTTAAAGGCAAGTTTGTGTAAGTTCATAAAACTCAAAACAATGAAACAATTCAGATTGCTTAAAATGTGTCAGTTTTGTGAACTCAGACGAAAAAGAAAGTTTTAAAAACTTTAGGGTTTACAGTGTTGGTTTAAAGGTGCAGTGTGTAGTTTTTAGCGACATTTAGTGGTTCGGTTGTGAGTTGCGCGCGCCTCCACATCCTCTAGACACCATTTACTACACACAACAGGCTTTTTCGTGATCAACTTAAAATGCTTCCAAGATCAACTTTTCGCCCGCGATCGACGGGTTCGTGATTCCTGTAACATACTGTTTTAGGGTCAATGACAAGAGTACTAATCTGTCTCATGAACATAACCAGCACATTTATCCCCACATAGCAGGGAGAAGAACTATGTTACATGAAACAATCCAACTACATATTTTACACCACTGACAAGGGAAAAGTCACTACTCACGGTGTTTATGGCTAGCTTCTAGCTTTCTGCTGCATCTCTTTCAAGGTAGTGACGAAACACCCTCTGTAGCGCTGTTTGTTCGCTACGGTAGAAACATAACGCCACAATATGGCGACCTTCATAGAAGGGGGTGTCCGCGGTTATGTAGATATAAATGTCTCATTCTAAGGTAATAAAAACATTACAGTTTATTAAGTTATAAAGTTATTTATTTCTTTATACACCACTAACAATGTATTGGTGTGGGTGTCATATTGCATTTCTGTTAATAGATAGTCAAATTTTTTACAAATTGCACCTTTAAGTACTGTATATCTGGTGTTGTTTTCCTCTTTAATGGTACTCTGAGATATATGTCAGGTCAGTGGAGTATTTTCTTTCATCACTAAGTTAATCAGGGCAGGGCTTGGGAAGCCACCGAGGGCCTCAAGTTGCTGGGTTGCCAACAAGCACGCAAAGAGGCAGAAACGCAGACAGAGCCGCCTTTGTCCCCATACGATGCCGAGGGCCTTGTGACTGGAATTGTTCCACTGCTCCCCTTTCAGAAAAATGACCGTTCTTCTGGCACTCTGTATGTAAAGAGAATCCTGGGTGGTGGTGTCCGTACCGGGGTGTCGAGCCAAACTTTATCCTTCGTATTGCTGTTATTCATTCATTGCTTGGGAAATGTAAGAAGTACAAATTTGGAACACTTTGACATTAAGATGACTCGAACGAACAAATCTTTGTAATGAACAATTCATTTTCATTCACTTTATTAAACTGTGTAATTTTTTTGGTTTGTTTTGTTTAATGCAAGACTACTCTCCTGCAGCATTTTATTGGTTGGACCTAATGAACAAACATGCAGTGTTTATGCTTTATACGGATGATAGTTTTATGTTAATATATATATATATACACATTACTCAAGCAAATATTTATGTAATAATACCGAAAGATCGTTTTAAAAAAAATATATATAATTAATAAATGCATTATTTATTTAATTAATATTTTTTTAAATAATGATTGCAGTTACTACAATTATTGCATAATTACTTATTAATAACTGACTTGATGGTCAGTAGTTCTGTTACACTTTTGTTTGCAGTTTTTATAGACCGACTGTAAAAGACAAAAATAAATAGATCAGGGAGTAAATAAATAATTTTAATATATTTATTTATTTGCTTCTACATTTATATTTTTTCATTATTTATGTACTAAATAATGTTTTTTTTTTGTTTTCTTATTAATCTTATAAATGTGTATTATTTCAAGTAATTATTTATTGAATTACTACAAAAACTTAAAGCAGATAAATGAATAAATGTTTATTTTAAATACAAATATAATATCTGTTTGTAAAATACATTTTCGTTAATAAGTAACAATTCATTCTTGTTCACTTTCTTGTACCATCTCATATTTTTCATTCACAAGCGAAATGACTGACCTAAACTGCAAACCAATAACATTCGAGTGCAGGCTGTGAAAGAACATTTCATTGGTTTAGCTGCTGAACGAACACGCCCCTTCACAGAATGAGTCAGTGTTTTTAGTCTGATCGAGACTGCTGAATGAACTCTTTCGCAAACAAACTGAACAATTGATACATTGAGAATTAGTTTCAGCTCTGTGTGTAAGTCAGTCTTGTTCACTAAAAGGAGATAAATGAGAAGAATTATGAATGTGTGTACAATTTGATATAGGCTAAAACTAACTGTAGTAGTTTTGTATTCGTGCATATTGTAAGAAGACTTCTAGCATTTTTTTAAGTCTAGAGTTTTTATCAAATTGGTTGAATGAATTATTAATTGGCTCACTCATAACACAGAAAAGACTTGTTGAAAAACCAACCTGTTGAAAGGTCACTAAACAAATCAGTGAGTGAATAGGAACTAATCATTTTGGTGAATGGCTTCAAAGATTCGAGTCTGAGATTAATTAAAAATCCCCAGTACTGATTCATTACACACTAGACTTGAAATAACAGTTTCAGAGTGAATCAGTGTCTTTAATGTTTAGCAGAGCACATTGTAGCACAGTAACAGATAAATGTTCCATGGTGAACATGTGTTTATAATTGTGAAGGCCACAGAATTGAGTGATGCTCCTTATAAAGAATGCGGGCGACACTATACTGGTTCCTTATAAGCTCTAATTTACTGGCTCCTGTTAAATTTGTATTTGTTGTATATTATGTTTTTATACTTATCAGTCCTTCTGACTGATGTTGAGAGAATGCCTCTAACACCATCTTCACTCTGCAGTAGTGTTCTTCAGTGCTGTGCCAAGGTGAATAGACAGTTTACACATGTACTTCGATTGGATAGTAAGGTGACTTTTATCTGTCTTTACAGAGTGACCGTCTCTTGATTAAAGGGGCTAAGATTGTGAATGATGATCAGTCGTTCTGTGCCGACATCTATATAGAGGATGGCCTGATCAAGTGAGTATGAGAGATTCTTACATTAATATAAAACGGATTGCTAATGAGATGTGAGGAAGAGAGAGAGAGAGAGACAGACAGACAGACAGACAGACAGATAGATAGAAGAAAAAAACAGAATGATAGATAGATAGATAGAAGAAAAATAGATAGATAGATAGATAGATAGATAGATAGATAGATAGATAGATAGATAGATAGATAGATAGATAGATAGATAGATAGATAGATAGATAGAAGAAAAAATAGATAGATAGATAGATAGATAGATAGATAGATAGATAGATAGATAGATAGATAGATAGAAGAAAAAAACAGAATGATAGATAGATGGATGGATTTATAGATGGATGGATGGATGGTTAGTGTGTACAAAATGTGAAATGTGCCTTCATATCACATGATACATAATGAGGTAAGAAAAAAACGGACGGACGGACGGACGGATGGATGGATGGATGGATGGATGGATGGATAGATAGACAGATAGATCTGTCTTTCAGCAGTTTATGAGGTTATGAGTTTAGTGTGTACAAAATGTGCCTTTATATCACATGACACATAATGAGGTAATGAAATAGCTGTTTAAATTTGGGTTTTGAAATTAAATTAAGATGCATCCAATTGTATAACCTTTCATATCTCACTTTCACTCACAGGCAAATTGGAGAAAATCTGATTGTGCCCGGTGGGGTGAAAACCATCGATGCTCATGGGCGTATGGTGATGCCAGGTGGCATTGATGTGCACACACGCTTCCAGATGCCTGACAGGGGCATGACTTCTGCAGATGACTTCTACCAAGGCACCCGCGCTGCGCTGGCTGGAGGAACCACCATGATCAGTACGTGTCAAACTGTCACGTAGTGTTGATGGAGAAACTGACTTGAGATCAGACTGCATACTGTGTGCATAGTAACCAGATCATAACCTTTTAGCAACCACTTAGCGGTGCCATAGCAACCAACAAGAAATGCCCCAACAACAACTCACAACCATATTTGGGCTTGTTACTCAAAAACTTCAATTATTTTTCATTACTCTTTTTAAAAGTAATATTAGTTTATTTATACTCCATCCGCTTTGGCCGGTTGAAGGGCCTTAAGCCAACCCATGCCATCCCCCCACCTCAGCTCATTAACTATTTCCCCACCATTGAAGGAAACCACCCACAACACGCGAGCAAACAAATAGTGAAGGTGATGAATGATACACAAGGCAACTTTTTGAGCAATATTGCTGGGCAATGGTGCTGTCAACAAGCTAACAAGATGAGACACAGGGCCCATGACCGATCTAAATTATCCAAATAGAAATGCAATCCAAAAAGATTACCCAGCATCGTTGCTCAAAAAGTTGCCCTATGTATCATCACCTTAACACTTTTTGTACTACTCAAAACACCTTAGCAACCAATAAAAAATGCTCTTAAGCAACCACCATCAATGACCTAGCAACACTCTAGTAACCATCCACAACACTAAAGTAACCACTTAGCAGCGCCCTGGCAACCACCCACAATACCATAGCAACCACTATACACCATACTGGAAACCACCCACAACACATGGGCAGATGCATAGGAATGGCCTATCACTGCTCTGGAAGCCACCAACAATCCAATAGCAAACACCTAGCAACCACATATTAATACTTTAGCAACCACCAACATAACCTTACCATCCTGTAGCAACCACCTAGCAACATACTGGCAACCACCTACAGCTCCAGAGCAAATGCATGGTAAGGCTTTAAACACTACTCAAAATACCTTAGTGACTGCTAATATCTAGGGACAAGATTTTTTTAAGGCTTAATCCCATAGCAACCACCAACATATGCCTAGCAATCACCCACAACAACATAGCAACACGTTAGCAACCACACATAACTGCCCTTGAAGCCACCAACAATACAATAGCAACCACCCACATCCACCTAACACTACTTTAGAAACCACCAACATAGCCATAGCAACCACATGGCAACACCCTGGTAACCACATACAACCCCTGAGCAAATGCATAGTAATCCTTTAAACACTACTTAGACCACCTTAGCAACTTAATATTCAGGGACCAGAAAATCGCAGAAACTTGGGCCATTAAGTAACACCCTAGCAACCATGACAGTGCCATAGCAACCATCTAGTAATGCTCTAGCAAGCACCACTCACACTTTCTCCAATTTGCCTTTGGTTCCAATGATCTTAATACAGATTAACACAGTTAAGCTTTGGTTAGACCTGCTATCCAATAACTATGTTATACTTTTTCATTAGTGTTATCAAAGCTGTGATGTTTGGCTGAGTCGCTGTATCCTTTATGATGCAGCCATCATTTAGTGTGTGTCATTATGGCAGACCGGATGGAGACAGTGCGCTTAAAATAGTACAAGAGACTGTTTTCATGTGTCTGTTTGTCCTCTTTTCAGCGCAGACCGGCATTACTTAACTGATTGAAGTGCTTTTTAATCTGTAGGAGCTCTTTAATATCTGCCTAACCAACTGTGTGTTTGTGAACAGTCGATCATGTGGTGCCTGAACCCGGGACGAGTTTGATCTCAGCCTTCAATCAGTGGCGGGAGTGGGCGGACAGTAAAGCGTGCTGTGATTATTCCCTTCACGTGGACATCACCGAATGGCACAAGGGTATTCAAGAGGAGATGGAGACGCTCGTCAAAGATCACGGTAAAGCATTGGCAGCGTTCCCTAATGTGAACATCTGTATCTGCTGTACAAACCCACCAGAGTTAGCGTTTACTCCATCGGTCAGGAATTCTGCTGCGCTGTTTCACCTAATGTCTCACTGACATTTCCCTCTGTAATTTCATACCCCGTCGTCTTTGTGTGCAGGCATTAACTCTTTCCTCGTCTACCTGGCTTACAAAGACGTTTTCCAGCTCACCGATTCCCAGGTATGACATATTTGCTTGTTTTTTAGGATCTCATGAAACCTGTCAAAAACATACCCAGGTCATATAAAACCATGAAATAAAAATAAGAGAATTTAAAGATGAGAAACTTGAGTTACTTTTTTGTTTTGTTTTGACCAATAAGATACAGGAACATAAAGGCAATGTTGCTAAATACATGAACGTTTTTTAAAATGCGAAACTCCTTAAAGGCCCAAAAAAAGGATGGAATTAGCATTATTTTGGAAATATACTATGGTATCATGGTATTTTTTTTAAGTACATTGGTTCATTTAATTATTTGTTTGTTTGTTTGTTTGTTTGTTTTTGTGTGTGCAGTTTGACATTTCTGGCAACTTTTCTTTTCTGTATAAAAAGCCTGACTATGTATTATAAATGTACATGTACCATGGTCAAACCATAGTATGTTTTGAAGCACATTTGTTTGTTCATTTATTAATTTAATTTATTTTTAAGTTTAATGTGACCATGGTATTACTATTTCTATGGTTTTGGACATAAACATACCATAAACCATGGTATTTTATTTTAAAGTTCATTCATTCATTCGTTCATTAATTCATTCATTCATTCATTAATTCAGTGATTTTTTTTTTTAAATGAGCGATCGTTTCGCTTGATAAGACCCTTATTCATCGTCTGGTGTCGTTTAAAGCCCTTTCAACACTATGCAGTTTGCACTGAAACTGTCTTTTGGACCTTGAACCGTTTGGTTACCAGTAAAGTCCATTATATGGAGAAAAATCCTGGAATGTTTTTTTATTTATTTTTTTTTAATCAAAAATCTTCATTTATTTTCAACTGAAGAAAGAAAGACATGGACAACCTGGATGACATGGGCGTGACAAAATTATCAGTAAAACTACTTCTTTAAAATGTTTTTTAAATAATAATAAAAAAAGTATTCCATCTGGTACCATCACAGTTTTAGGGGGCTCACCGTGCCAAGTTTCTTGGAGTTGGGTGTTTATGTTCTACTTCTCATTGAGAATTGTGCAAATAGAAGAAAAGTAGATCTAAATAGAGTCCCTTGGCAATTTATAAACAAATGATGCTTGAATAATCCGGCGGCGACCATTGCATTTGTTTTAAGCATGCTTCTGTCATATTTGGTGTTCATTCTTGAGTGAGGTCAAATGTGTGTTTCTGTGCAGATCTACGAAGTGTTGAGTGTGATTCGGGACCTCGGGGCCATCGCTCAGGTCCATGCTGAGAACGGAGACATCATAGCCGAGGTGAGATCTTCAGAGAGTCCAGCACTAGCTCCATTACTCAGAGTTACTATCAACAATAAACTGTTTGGAGATGTTAAATCAAAACATATGTTCCACAATGAACACTCAGACTTTATATTGGCGAGCAAAGCCAAAGCAAATATTCCTACATGAGGTCGATATAATTAATTGCAGATGACTTTTGGCTCAGGCTTGTGTGTATTTATCATTATGAAGATAAGCAATCTCTTAGTAATGAGGACAACGTTTGGTTGTGGAGATAAAAAGTATTGTTTTTTAATGTATACAGTATATATTGAGACTATGACATGATTATTTAAAGATTCAGTGATCTCATGCTGCTCTTATCTCCCCATCCCGCTCTTTCTTTCTTTCTTTCTTTCTTTCTTTCTTTCTTTCTTTCTTTCTTTCTTTCTTTCTTTCTTTCTTTCTTTCTTTCTTTCTTTCTTTCTTTCTTTCTTCTTTCTTTCTTTCTTCTTTCTTTCTTTCTTCTTTCTTTCTTCTTTCTTTTTTCTTTCTTTCTTTCTTTCTTTCTTTCTTTCTTTCTTTCTTTCTTTCTTCTTTCTTTCTTTCTTTCTTTCTTTTTTTCTTTCTTTCTTTCTTTCTTTCTTTCTTTCTTTCTTTCTTTCTTTCTTTCTTTCTTTCTTTCTTTCATTCAACAGGAGCAGCGCAGGATTTTCGAGTTGGGGATCACTGGACCAGAGGGACATGTCCTCAGTCGTCCAGAGGAGGTGAATGGCAGGGAATACTGGGAACAGATATTTTCCATTTTGTCATCAGAAGGAAACATAGTTTCGTAGAAGAAAACCTTTGTATTGAACTGGTTTTATGGATCACTTAGGTGGAGGCGGAAGCAGTCAACCGCTCTGTAACAGTGGCCAATCAGACCAACTGCCCTCTTTACGTCACCAAGGTGATGAGCAAAAGTGCTGCTGATGTCATCGCCCAGGCCAGGAAAAAAGGTGTGATGCAAAATAATATATCGCAATATAAAACTAAATATGGCAACTCTAGGATTGGCCTGCCTTTGATTTAATCCCAAAGACCCATTTTGAAACATTCAAGGTTGAATTACCAAAATGGAAGAACATTCTGAGGTGGTTTGATCTAATCCCACTCTGTCCGTGCCATTAAAATTAGATATTGTTAGACTGGACAAGCAAGGCAGGTTTTATAAGCAAGGATGCATTGCAGTAGTGCAATAAAAAAAAAAAAAAAAAATCACTATGCTATGACTCAGCTGTACTTGGCTAGACCGCACGAAATGACATCATAGTGGTTAGGCTCCAGAAATAAGCAAGAGAATTAGAGTGAAATTATATATGCTGTTCCGAATCCTAAATCAGTATCTTTGAACCATTTAGGCACCGTAGTCTATGGAGAGCCAATCACAGCAAGTCTTGGCACGGATGGCTCACACTATTGGAGCAAGAACTGGGCCAAGGCCGCCGCCTACGTCACGTCCCCACCCTTGAGTCCAGATCCCACCACACCGGACTATCTCAACTCGCTGCTGTCATGGTGAGATCACTTAATGTCTGTTCATTTTTAGGATGCATTTATGATTGGATTTGTTTTGGTTGTAAAAATTGAAGTGTACCTTGAGAAATTAACTTAATTTATGGGGTCTGAGAGCGGTTTAAAAAGCTGGCTAATGTGTGTAAGTTGCACATTACTCAGACTAACTCAGAAAGTTCAAGTTTAAGTCTGCAGTGTGGTTTACTTTTAATGCTGCATCAAATTTAAGAAATAATAATAAAATGATTACATTATTATATTTATCATGATAACACTTTACAATGAGGTTCATTGGTTAACTACCTTAGTTTACTAATCTACTGTTAACTACAATACTTCTTCAGCATTTATTAATCTTCGTTAATATTAATTTCAACATTTACTGATACGTTATTGATGCACTATGAACTAACATTAACAAAGATTAACAAATACAGTAACAAATGTATTGCTCATTGTTAGTTAATACATTAACTAATGTTGAACTATGAACCTTATTGTAAAGTGCTATACCATTATCAATATTATTATTTTAAATTATTAACTTGATTGAATTAAAGTTTATGTTCAAAGATGTATTAAAATAATAACATCAATAATAATTATGCTAATAATGACAATATTGAATATTGAAACTACTAAACAATTAAAAATATTAAAATTAAGGAATTAATTATTATGTGCTATATTATACAATTCATAGTTTATCATTTAATTTTTATTGTTACAAATATAATGATGCAAATGATAATATAACAATAATAACAATATAATAAATTAATAAGATTTTTTAATTTAATAATATTAAATAACAATAATACACATTATTATTATTATTATTATTATTAAATATTTTTTATTATAAATATCTGATTAAAATAATAATACTAATAAATAATAATGTGACTAATAATAATTATTATATTTTATACATTATACATTTTATAAAAAATTTTTAATAATAATAGCAATAAAATAGTATTACAATTAATTATATAGTTTAATGATACAAATAATAATAATAATACAAATCAATAATAATAATAATTATTATTATTAAATTATTATTTATTGTTAGCAATATAATAATAATTATAATAATAGTAATATACTGTAGTGGTCAAAACACCAAAAAAAAAAATAAATAAATAAATAAAAAACTATGTGTTGAATTAATAGTGAATAGAATGTGGATTGAGACCTGATCACAACTAAAATATATCTAAATTAGTTCTGAGGTACTGAGGACAAAACAGTGTATTTTTTTCACTCTGATGGGTTTTTAGTACATTTTTTAGTCCCTCTTTAGTGAATCACTATATCCTTTAAAACTCCGCTTTGATCACCAAAATGACATGTTTAAATGTTTTTTTCTTCCTGTGAATTTTTTTTCTTCATGCCTTAAAATAGCTTGAATGTAACTACACCCTTGCTTCATTTAGTATATGATGAATAATGAATATGCTAATTAGCCCCACCTCCACTTCAGAGATCCACTAGGTCAACTTTACTCAAGTTACTCTAGTAAACGCTACACAAAGGTATCACTCTTTACAACTTCGGACACATAGCGGTAATATGATTAGCCTTTTGCTTGACTATGTTGCTAATGTTACACAAACCATGTTCCCATTGCCGTTCGCCATCTCAGTCTACCTTATAAAACTCAGTATCCTTTGAAATACTTTGAAGTGAACAACTCAGAATGTCAGTATACTGTCATAACATCGTAATATATCATATACATCATACACCCGCTTTATTGCTAAATGTACACGATTATTTATATCAACAGAAAAATATACCTGGATAACCGGGCTTCTCTCGAGACTGCCCTGCATCAGAGCGCAGTAATGATGATTTGCTAAAATCCGTCGGCACGTTGACGTGATTTGTTTACAAAGTAGTTTGTGATGTCAGAAACAATAGTGATTTCAAACTGCCAGTTACAACATGTGACGTGGACACAATGTACATTTTTGAGATGAAAATAGTGTTAAGAAACAAAAAAAAACACCCCCCTACAATTAAATCTAACAGATGCTAACATTGTCTTCAATGATGTTCAACACACATAACTGTATATACATATAAACAACATTAAAAACTTGATTTTCACCACAGGGGGTCTTTAAAGACGACTCAAGTGTGAAAAGGGTTTGCTTAGCATATGAATGTGACTGTTTGTAGAAGAGACCCATTTGTTTTGTCCTAACGGTATATTTGTTTCTTCATAGTGGGGATCTGCAGGTAACAGGAAGCGCTCACTGCACCTTTAACACCGCCCAGAGAGCTGTGGGTAAAGACGACTTCACCCTCATCCCCGAAGGAACCAACGGCACTGAGGAAAGGATGTCCATCATCTGGGACAAATGTGTGGTGAGACAGAAATACTAGTCTGCAAACAGTAAGGAGTTACAAACTTCCACAGTGCAGCATCTACTCTTCCTTTCATCATATAAACAAAATCAGTCAATAGTCATTTGAGTCTAAATAGTCCGAGCTGAGCAGACAAGCACACTCAAGTGGACACAAACAAGACAAATCTCTCCCTGTGGTCCCTGTCATTCGTAGGTAACTGGGAAAATGGATGAAAATCAGTTTGTCGCCGTCACCAGCACCAACGCCGCCAAAATCTTTAACTTGTACCCACGTAAGGGCCGCATTGCCGTGGGCTCCGATGCCGACCTGGTTCTGTGGGAGCCTGATGTTACAAAAATCATCTCAGCGAAGAGCCACAATCTGGTGAGTTCTGCTGTCAGCAATGGCATGTGTGTTTAAAACCAACTTTAAATACAAAGTTATGTTAGATGGCACAGGCTGATAGGTTCTTAACTCAATCTGCTTGCAATCACATCATTATCTATTGGGCACAGGTGATTGGTTCCTGACGTATATCAGTAGACAATGAGCTCACTGCTCAACCTTCAAATATTTGGTCAGCATTTGCTGTAGCAGTTTGCAGTGTGCTTTCAGAAACCCTCCACCTTCCCCAGCTCCAACTGTATAAATCTGCTATATGCTATATTGTACAGCAGTAGCATGTCTTATTGCTCACAGTAGGGCGTCTTGTATTTATTGGCATTTGCAAGTCCAAGTGCAAGTTGCTCTGCAGCAGCAGCAAGAACAGCAGCAAACACTCAGAAAGTTGTAGACATCAAAAAAGACCCTATTTACTTTCCTAACACGTCTTTTTCCTGGTCTTACTGTGACCCAATAATGCACATTATTGATTGCTTGCGTTTATGTGATTTGACTTGTTGTATTTATGTGCCTCAGTATAGTTAACCAGTGAGCAAACTTGTTTGGTTTGCAGTCCTGACCATAGAACATTGGTTGTGCTGACCAAATGTTAGGCGTGGGCATGTTACTCATGCGAGTGATGTCATCCTGAGCTCTGTCTGGGTAATTGATGTCTCCCTCCTGGTTTGGAGGCGTAACCGTGTGCAGGATGCCATGAGGATCTTTTTTAACGTCTTCTATTTGTGTTCATGGGCTTAAAACATGTTGGCTTTAGAGGGTTGTGTTCTTTTGTCTACTGGACACAATTTATCTATATTTAACAATGTATGTAAACATCCTAAATGTGTTAAATATTTAAATATATTATATTCATGTACTATACATTACATTATGTACATAGGTATAATTAATAATATATGAATACATTTAATATATAGTTTCATATATGTATTGTATTTTATTAATAAATGACCAATTTGTAATTTAATATATAGTATTTAATAATAGAAAATATACTGGACTTAAAAAAAAAAAACTGGATTTAAAGCTAGCTTTATTTTAATTTGCAAATCGATTTATTTTTTTCTTGTTTTAAGCCTAAATTGTAAGAATTGTTTTCCAATGGCAAAAACCGAAAAAAAATTATAGGATATTTAATATAATTTAAGATATGTATTTGCTAAAAATATGCTTAATAAATAAAGCTTGGGGTCGGTAAGATTGTTATAAAGAAATGTTTACTTTTATTCAGCAAGGATGTATTCAAATGGAATAAAAGTAAGGCTTTTTTAACAGTGTTACAACAGATTTGTAATTCAAATAAATGCTGTCCTTTTGAACTTTCTGTTCATCCCAAATAATCTTGAACATTTTAAAATAAACACTAATTGGTGAGCATTAGAGACTTCTTTAAATTCTAAAAACTTTTAAAATCTTACAGTCCCCAAACTTTTGAATGGTGGTGAGCGCTTATTTACAGTTTTGCTTCTTAGGGACAGTACTGGAAAACAAGACAAAAGTCCTGTGTGTGTGTGTGTGTGTGTGTGTGTGTATTCAGGACCGTATGTCAACCGCTTGGTGTTTGAGCATGTGTGTGTGTTGATTATCAGATTCACTGAATAACCACATGCTGTTTTAGGTCTTGTGGGACATACTGTATTGCTTTTAGCAAAGCGCCAGTAAGGGTGTTCCCACGTGCCAGCACACACACACACACACCCTGTAAACTTTAATATACAGTACTTCCTCCCTCATTCACTCCCTCTCATTTCCAACATTCTGTGTTTGCTTTGTAGCTTACTGTATTTCTTCAACCGTTCTGAACAGGTGGGCTGCAAATATGGTCTGTTCTAAGATCTGACATTTTGTCTTCAACATATTGTTTTAAATAGCTTTCTGAAAGAATCAATAATGATGGGATATCATAATCACCTCCATTTTTACCGGAATATCATGCTTCAGTATGTTGAAGGGATTTTAGAGCAATGCAACTATCCCTCAAGCAGAGCAGAGTTTGTGCAAATGATGTCGAGATGATCCTCACTGCAGAACATGAAATCCACGGGGAGGAGTCAGATCCAGATCCAACTCCTCCCACCTTACATATACCTAAACCTACCCAGCTCCACTTCCTGACCCCTAAACCCACCCCTAAACCTACCCAACTCCACCCCTCAGATCTGGATCCGACTCCGCCCCCTGGATCTCGTGTACTGGAATGAGGTGCTACTGATGACATCAGGAATGTCTGCAAATCATCAGCAAGGTTTTGTCTTGTGTGGTGATCCTGATCCTGAAACGATGTTTCGACATGCGGTGTCATGCCGTTGCTTCTTGTTTTCCAGGCAGTGGAGTACAACATCTTCGAGGGTACCGAGGTGCGCGGGGTGCCCCTGGTGGTCATCAGCCAGGGAAAGATCGTACTGGAGGATGGAAATCTCCACACCATAGAGGGATCTGGACGCTACGTGAGCCGTAAGCCGTTCCCTGACTATGTCTACAAGAGGATAAAGGCTCGCAGCAGGGTGAGTTATAGATCAATGTTTTTTTTTTTATCAGGTTTTCTAATCTGAAATCTATAGATACACAATCTGCCGGTGACCATATTGATACCGTTTATTATTATTACCTTTATTGTTATTTATAAAATGGTTAGTTCCAATCCTTGATTCTGATTGGTCAATGGCTGTGCTTTATTCATGATAAAACATGGCCATGGCCACCTTACCCAACGGTTGTTTTTATCACTGCGCAACACTGCAGTTCCTCTTGTTTTTTATTTGAGCTTTTATGCATATTAAACATTGGAATGTTGTTGCTGTTCACGGTCAGGGACTATTTTTTTTTCTAGCGGAAGGAAGGCTTTTAGTGATTTTACTTCATGAAAGTTGCACTAATTGTTTTTATTTTTTTTTTGCTTTAATATTTTTATTGTGTGGTAACCGTTTTACAAAAGCAATAAGGTACTCGAGCCAAGTGCTGTATCGTGAATAAGTAATGGCTGAAGGGGTTACTCCGCTTCATGTCGCGCCTAACAACGCCCTTCAGCCGTTACTTATTCACGATACAGCACTTGGCTCGAGTACCTTATTGCTTTCTAATTGTAAGCAATTATTAAAATTATTGATTTTCTTTGTGTGTGTATATATATATATATATATATATATAAGTGTATATATAGTATAGTATAGTATATATATATATATATATATATATACTATAGTATAGTGTATATACTGTATATATTATTACTATTAGTATAATATGATTTTTTAAAATATTACAATATCATTTTTATAGAATATTATACCATAGAAAATATTCTAGCATTGGTGTTTTCAACATTGATAATAATGAAAATGTTTATAATTGTATTTGTAAATTTATAATATTTATGTTAATTTTAATTTTTAATAATATTTCACAATATTAATGGTCTACTGTCTTTTTGGTCAATTAAATACACCCTTGGTGTTCATAAAATACTTCTTTTTAAAACATTAAAAACATTGTAATTATTTCAAAGTTTTGACCCGCAGTGAGCATATACAGTATACGTGTATATACTTCATCTATGCACTATTTATGTATTTATTTAAAAGTAATATTGTGATATTAATATTTTTTACTATTTAAAATGACTGATTTCTATTTTAATATATTTTAACATATAATTTATTCCTGTGATGAAAAGCTGATATTCTGAGATTTGAATCCATGGCGGAAGGAAGTAGTTCTGCACAAAAGAGGGTTTTTGAAGACACTCCGTTGTTGTTTTTAATTATTTACTCACTTGTGCCATCAAACTGTTGTATAAATGCAATATCACACTCGTAGCCGTACATATATGGCATATATCAGCTCGCAGTGATTACCTGCATTACCTATATGCTTATTCTGTAAATATACTTATATTTATTTATTTATTTTTTTGCTTTTCAATATAAATGCCACGTAATGCTTATTAAAGGTTAACGGTTTTCTAAATGTTTTAGGTTGTCAGTGTTTTACTAATATTATCATGCACCATTGTTTCTTAGCTTGCTGAACTGAGGGGCGTCCCACGGGGTCTCTACGACGGGCCGGTCTGTGAAGTCTCAGTGACGCCCAAAGCTGTGACGCCTGCTTCCTCTGCCAAAACCTCTCCTGCCAAGCAGCCCGGTCAACCGGTCCGCAACCTGCACCAGTCTGGCTTCAGTCTCTCTGGTGAGCATCGCAAGGAAATCAATTGAGATGCATGACAGTAGCAGTGTCGTCATGTAAAATAAATATGCATCATTTCCTTTTGATTTATCCGTTTCAGGCGCTCAGGTTGACGACAATATCCCCCGCCGCAACACCCAGCGTATAGTTGCGCCCCCTGGTGGCAGGGCCAACATCACCAGCCTGGGCTAGACCCCTGTCCTCCAGCCGACAGGAGAACAGTGGGTTGGGGGAGGGATGTCTATAAACGGAGGGGTTTGCTGAAACCACCGTGTCAAATCAAGAACCGAACCCTCCACAGGGCCCATGATTCTTTACTCCCTACTCTCCCAACCCCCGAGCTCTCGCCCTTTTCCCTATTCTTTTCCCAACCTTACACCACTTCCTAAAGAAGACATCTAGACAAAAAAAAAAAAAAGTATTTGCCTCATGTGAAGAAAGGAAACATGTAACATCCACATTTGAGCACGTTCTGATTGTATGATTTTTATACTGTACTTTCTACCCACCATGAGTCATGTTGTTATTTTTGTATTTAACTTTATTTGCTTTTTGAAATCGGAGGGATCAAGTGTGTTTACTAGAGAAGCTGTTTATCATTGTTACTTATTAACAAGGCAAGGGTTAGAGTACTGGGTTTCTTGTGTCATTGTTTGTGGAAAAAAGTCTATTAGGACTTTTTATTACATTAGGAATGTATATATTTTTTAGGCTTTTTTATTACGTTTTTTTTTTTTTTTTTTACTCAAACAATCAGTTTACATCAATGAACACCTGACCGTATTCCGCCCCTTCAGTGGCATTCAATGCGATTCATTTCTGTACCAGTCAATAAAAGAAAGCTTTTCCAGTGGTTGCTAATTAAAAACCATGTTTTGTTCCACAACTAGAGATATTTAATTAACAATGTTAATGTTTTTGAAGAAGAAACCCCATATACAAAACTTAACAACGTAGAGAAAATAAGAGAGGACCACAAGTGATTCTAGCTGTCCTCATTCCAAAAGAAACTCAATCTTTTCTCTCTTTTTTTTTTTTTTTTTTTTTTTTTTGTTTGTTGCAAAAGCTGCTTTAATTCTTAATGGTTAAGGAAAGGATAAAGTCAAGGTTGTAACGTTATTTGGTCGTGAAGAAATAGAGGGCTGTTTCTTTGAGGATTTTTGAGAATTTAGTGGACAAAGTGGATGTGGTGCTGTGAAATTAGTAACCATTTCCTAATGCACTAGAGCCTAAAGTATACTTACATTTTTGACATGCGTACAGCCGAACAAGTTGCGTACGCAGTGTTGTGTGTGCTACGCGAGCGCAGCAGTCAAACACGTCCGTCTAGCACTTGTTTACATAGAAAAACGCAAAAATGCGTTCTGTGTGAACGGCCACTTAGAACGTTTCATCCTCGTCCAGTGTCTGCGCTATTTCTCATCGAAGTTATGAACATAAATGTTATTTAAAAAGTATTTTTTTTTTACTCGATAAAGTAGTCATGGGAATTTCTCAACTTACACAAACGCTCAATCCCCACATTTCTTTTTCCGCTTTTAAACAAGACGAGGCCAGTGTTGCCACCTTGTGGGCAAATTAATCATCTTTTTTTTAAAATCAAAACCCATGTGCTAGCTGAGCTTATAGAGTACACTAGTTTACAAAAATCAGGCTGCTCGCGTACTATGCTGCTGACCTATGCTTATGCGTAAAAACCGAAGTATACTTTTGGCTTGAGGGCCAAAATAAACCCAGAAGGATGTTTCTGTAGGTTTGGTTGCTGCGCAGTACGAATACGCCTTGTGAGTCGTTAGATTTTACGATATTGAGCGGTTATGCTGCAAATTTCTTTCAACAAATGTGATGTCGCAGACCTTACGCTAATGTGTCTTTTTTGTATCTTTAACTCCAAGCTGTGCCGGACTTATAATGCTGAGTGCTGCTGCAAGAGCTTGTTCGTGTTTTATGTTTGAAACAACTGAAAGGCTGTTAAATGTAAAATAGCCGGTTAACCGATACAAAGGTGCCAGATTTTTTTCTGAACTCTTAAATGTAAAATAGCCAGTTAACCGATGCAAAGGTGCCAGGTTTTTTCTCTTAACTCGTCATAGTGCTTTTGCAAGGCTTTTCTGAGTACGAGTTGTCAGCGTCATTCTTAATGTCGACATCCATTTTTAGTGCTGTAGTAAAATGCTACATACGACAGTCATGTGATTTTCAACAGCTGTGTTGAACATGGCAGCTCCATGTTTTAGTGTTGTTGTTTTTTTTTTTATCAAATATTGAAAGAGATTTTCTGTTAATCTGTTTATTTTTCATTCAAGTTGGTCTGAAAACATGCCCTAAAAGCACAAAGGATAATGCATTGAGCAGCTGGCTCGCTAGGTTAGCTGATATAGCCTTTAGTGTGTTATCAGTTTTCTTTACCTGTGTTTGACATTTCCGAAACATGAAGTTTGGCTTAACACGTAGACATATCATAATATTTTTTTTTTGTTTTTGAAATGGCTTTAGGGTACATCACAGCCATTAATTATGGTAATTGCTAATGCTAGTCGGTTGCGTGTGGTAATGTGGGAGGGACATTCTCATTGCATTTGATTGGACAGAAATAGTTAGTACAAGATGAGTCATCAATATTTCTGGATATTTTTTTTTTCTGAAGAGAAAAACTGTACATTTTAAATGCTTATCTGCTAACGTATGCTAATGCCACAAAACTGTAATTTTAATTTAATGGGGGTTTTAACCATAACGATAATCCACTTTTTGTGGATGGTGCTAAACCTTATGTTCAGCCCAGACGAAGGAGGCATACTAGTAGGCTAAACGCAGTAATAAAAAGGCTTTAATTGGATTTAATGTGCCTTTCTTAAAATCTCGACATGCGACGGCGGAACTTTTTTTGTATAATCTGTTTTTCATTTACTAAACCCGTCCTCCAGCTGTTTTCTTTTCCCTCATGCACATCAGCAAAACCTTGGCCTGTATTATCATTCTCCATTGCTTGCCTTTTCCTCTATGACTCAACACTGAGAAACACACTCAGAGACACACACAAGCTCCACTTCATTCCAGCACTGGTAAGGTCTAACCTTGCATATTCACTGCTGCTTAGTTGTTAGTGTGTACTCAAAGACACACAATTGTTTGTTCCAAAGTGAGGGAACTAAGAGACTTGGGGAGGAAAAAAATATGTTAAATGCTTTTGAATTCATTTCCGCAAAACGTTTGTTCCTCGGAGAAAACTTAGTAACATTAATAATATGAAGTATGAGGGTAAACTATTTCAATGTTTGAGTTCTCCCAAGAAAATTTGCTAACAAAACTGGAACGCACGACAAAAATACCGATTAAGAAAATTACGTTTTTCATCCAGTTTTCCAAGTTATTAGGACAGTATGGTCTCCTCACTAAAATGTAAATTTTGGCTTGTTTTAATACTGTTCTAGTGTTTTTTTTTAACGTTAATTGCACTTTCATTAGCTAAGCGAAAACACAGCGGGAGAAAAAAAAGCGTTGTTGTTGCCCCGCGAGACTGTCTTTCTTTTGGAATGTATCTGAAATAGAGGGTGACGCGAGGTTAATGATTCATTCTGTTCGCATGGATGGACTGATGTATTCATGGTGACGGTGAGAGGGGTCACTACTGGCCTCATAACGTAGGCTATATCTGCTAGTTATCACCTCATGACTGTTATTATTGTTTTCGCTCTTCCTGTTTCTTGTTCGTTTCTTGCTGACCTCATTGCCTTTCTACTGTTACTATGACGACTCTTTTATTTGTGATGGCAACACATTACACATCGAAAGCATATGCCCCATAGCAACCCTTCTGGGCTTGGTGCTATTAAAACAACATCGAATGGTTGGATCACTTCAACTAAATTGTGATTACAGTGCAACACAAACTGTTATATGTACAGAATCTGTTTTGTGCCTTTCTTGGTGGCACGTTTTTCTCTGGATTGATAGTTTGAGAGACAGCCAAAAAAAAAAAAAAAAAAATATTATTCGTATTTGGTATTTTTGTCTTGTTAAACATCTGTGACACAGGAGCAAAAATATTGGAGAAGAAAAACTGAGTTAGGCTAAAGTAGGCTAATAAGGGAGTATTGAATAAGTTTTTTTCCCACTACACACATCATGGACAGTTTTTTTTTCTTTTGTTTTTAACCTGAATAATTTAATGTGTATTGTTTGCCACTGTGTATTTTTCACACACATACTTTATTACTTTTCCACAATTTTGCTTCTCAGTTTAAATTAATGGTTAGTTTAATAAATAAAAAAACACAACAAACATATTAAGCTAATTATTTTATTTTTTATTTAAGCTGGTGTGGAAATATGGCATAAATTGAGAACAGAATTGTCCTATGTGAGTTTTTCAAGTCTTTTCCTTGAGACATCATGAGCATATGCAAGAGTTCAAATAAAACATGCCATGAGAATTTCCTCTGATCCCAGAGCAGCTGTCGACACACACACACACACACACACACACACACTTTGCTATGTGTGCTTGAATGTTCTTTTATGCGTGGTATGTAATCTATGTAAAATGCTGATGGGAACTGAAAGATGGTTTAGTCTGAGGTTGCCAAATGATTTCTAGTCCCGCCCCTCTCTTTCCCCATTAACCCCAGTCCAGAAGTGAACCTGTTGTGTGCTGGTGTTTATACTGTTGGCTGTGCTGTTTGAGGATGTTCGCTTGCGCTGAAAAGTGTCTAATCCCTTGAATGGTGATGTTACAAAAATGGAAAATTAATAAAAGGGGGAGAAAGGAGATATTTTCTCTACTCTTTCTTTGATTTTCAACAATATGCATATTATGAAACGTATATCAGGAAACCAACAAAGACAATGTTAAAGCAGACAAATGAATCTAACATTACTGAGTCTTTTAATAGTCTATTATCATCAATATGACCAAAGACATCTATGTATATATATATATATATATATATATATATATATACAAATTCTGGAGTCTCAAAAGTTAACATTAGAGCATTATATTTTAAATCACTTACTAACTGTTTTTTGATGTTAGTTAAAATACAATCGATTATTGTTTGGTCATGTTAGCTCAAAGTGATGTTAACAGATGCAACTTTTTTTTTATTTTAGCAATGTATTAGTAAACAGAAATCAACATTACCTAAAATTAACCCTTTGACGCATAGAGGTCACTAGTGGACAGCTAATTAAAAAGCCTTATATATTTTGCATATGCATGAGTTTTGATGGCATAGTTGCACATCAACCTATGGATGACAGTGTGCATCATCCTACACACTGTCCCCAAGTGGCAAGCCTTTGTATGTGTAATTTTTGTTTTCTCCAAACCAAGATGGCCGACTTCCATTCAGAAATGTCAAGGTGCTACGTAATATTCATCCATTCTAAACTCATGCAAGTAAAAGTGTAACATAGAGTTTGGGAGAAAAAAAAAATTGGATTAATCATATGTCCAGTAAATTGGACATCATGCATCATTAGCTATATTTCAGCTACAATTCGTACTGTTACTGTGACTGTTGTTCTAGAAAATACTTTAACTGTAACTGTTTTTTTGGCTGCAAATAAATGTATTTGTTTTATTAGATTGTAATCTGCAGTTACATCAAAAAGTAATCCGATTAGCCTACATAATGCATGTTACTTGTAATGCATTACTTTACTCACATCATCAAAAAGTAATCAGATTACATAATGTATGTTCATGTTACGTGTAATGCGTTGACGCATAGGCTATCATCAAAATCTAATCCGATTAGATAATCCATGTTACCTGTAATGCATTGTTTTACTCATTTTATCAAAAAGAAATCTGATTACATTATGGACTTGCGCAACTTTACTCGTTCCATCAAAAATCTGATTACATAACATGCATTACTTGTAATGCATTACTTTACTCGTTACGTCAAAAAAGTAATCTGATTAACGCAATGCGCGTTACTTGTAATGCATTATACTTCCTCGTTACATCTGATTACGCAATGTGCGTTACTTATAATGCATTACTTTACTCGTTACATCTAAAAAGTAAGTGTCAGGGAGTCACAGGTAATAATAGGACCCAAGCGCAGAGATGAGCAGTAAATGTTTATTTCACGCAACAAAATCCAGCAAAGTCATGAAGCAAGTAAGCACAATATAAAGGGAGTAGAGCACACGAGTACCAGGTGAGTACAATTAGAGAAACGAGGTCTAGACAATGACTAAACGAGTGTGGTAAAAGGAAACAAGGAGGCAAGACAATGGGAGCACATGGCCAATATAAACAGAGAACAAGCCATGTGCTCAAGCACAAAACACATGGAAACATTTAAAAAAGACAGAACAGACAAAGCTGCCAGGGCAGAGCTCTGACAATCTGATCATGTAATGCATGTTACTTGCAAAGTGGTAAAACACCTGATCACCAGTTTTTCTACAGTCTGAAAAAAAAAAAATCAATAGATCAATGTAGATTTCAGTCTAAGGGGAGGGCTAATATGGGTAACGCTTCCTTTTACAGTACAGTACTTACGTGTTACAGTGTACTTACCTAATTACTTGCTAATATAAAGTACATGGGTTAGGGGTAGGTTTAGGGTTAGTAACTAGTTATTACCCAGTAATTGTAATTACTATAATAAGTGTGTACATGGGTAACAGGATTGTAAAAGGAAGCGTTACCAAAATATGTACATTTTGAACATAATCAGAATAATCAGGTAATAAGGGCAAATCAACATGTTCTGGTAGACTGGAGGGAGCGTGAGTGTTAGGTTTCCACAGAGTTGTCCTCATGTTCTGATATCAAAGACACGTAACATTACATTTGTATAAGTTCTTCTCAGTCTGCTAGTCATACGGGATTTAATTGTGTTTGCAATAATTGAAGCTATATTATATATTTTTATATATTTGATAGTTTTCACATGATTTTATGACATTTTATTAATTGCTTTGAAATCCATGTATAACTTTGAAAGGTTTTAACAATGCTGTATAAGTATAATGTAGTTAACTAATGCTAACAAATGAAACCCTTATTGTAAAGTGTTAACCAAACATTTGAAGAAACGTTTAAGACTTTATCAACTTTTTTAGATTTAAATGTTCAGTTTTTTTTAAGATTTTGTGAAAATCAATGCAAAACACAAACATTTTTCTCATTTTCTTAAAAAAAAAAAAACATGTAACAAAAACAAAAATAAGCAGTTTCAATTGGCTATGTCAACAATCATTGCATTACAAGCTGGATTTTTACATTCCAAATGTACGAATTCTCCCAGTTTTACACTTAACAAAAGTGTAGCTGCATATTATAGATGTTGCCACAAGGTGTCGCTCCTGTATACAAAATCTTGCCAGATGCTTGGTCATGTCTTGTTCAATTCCACAGTAATGCCAGTAACACTTTACAAAACGGGTGCACTAATATGCATTAATTCATGTTTAACTAATGCACAGATATTCATGAGTTAATCTATGACTCATGAAGAACTAAACCATTAATTAATTATTACTGCACCAGCAACTAATAAAGAGTCTATATGATTAATGAATATTATGTAATACATGAATTGCTATTAATTCAATGTGTCAATGTGTATTGATTCCTTATTATATTGTATTAACTAATAGTGTAAATTAATGTCCACATAGTTATTCAACACACATCAACTTAAGCAAACTAAGCAAACTATGAAGAAATAAGTTATTTCAACAAAAATACATCAAATGCAAAGTGTCACACAGGGAATTGTGGTAATGTCAATTTACGTTTTTTCACTGTAATGAGTTGTTCATTTTCACTTTAAAAACTGTGAAATTAACGGTATTTTACAGTAAAATTACATGAAATTTACCATTAGATCTATCAGTTATTTATCGTATATAGTAAGGAATAATATTGGGGAAAGGTTGTTAACCAATTAACAGTTTTTCACTGTAGCATCTTTACAGTCTTTTACCGTTAAAATCATGATCATTTTTTACAGTAAGGAAGAACACTGAGAATATGCGGCTCTGCTATTATAACACTCTATCATAACACTGTGACTAGACAAGACAAAGAAACTAGAACCCATTATTATCAGTGATACAACACTGGATGCGACACAATGCTACACGACACACCCCAACAGTAAACTGATGCCACTCTATTTCTGACGCACTCCGAGCTGTTGCGCTACTTCTGTTATGAAAAACAAATGGACATGCAATGGTCTGTCATGTCCAGTGTAGACAGCTGTAATGGTCTCATCCAGTTTAAACACATTCATTTACACTATTAGTTAATACAATATGTTATTAAGGAATTAATACATGATGACACGTTTAATTAATAGCAATTCATTTATTACTTAATCCATTAATCATAGACTCTTTATTAGTTGCTGATGCAGTAATCATTAATTAATGGTTTAGTTTTATATGGGTCATACACTAACTCATGATTATCTGTGCATTAGTTAAGTATGAATTAATGAATATTACACTCTAAAAAATGCTGGGTTGTTTTAACCCAATTTTGGGTCAAATATGGACAAACCCGAAATGTTGGGTTAAAAATGTAATGTAAAAATTTAACCCAACGGCTGGGTTAGTCCATATTTGACCCAAAGTTGGGTTAAAACAACCCAGCATTTTTTAGAGTGTAGCGCACCCGTATTGTAAAGTGTTACCGTAATGTCTTTGTAAAATACCTTACAAAGGTTGCCTTTGAAGTCTTTCATTCTTTCAGAAATATTTCATAGAGCCTCACCTTCCATCTTGCATATGGAAACTTGATGAACTTTCAGAGTCAGAGATGTGTCACTGTTGCTATGTGCATGTGCAGTAAATGAGCACTCATTCAGTATCACAGCAGAAGGAGATTCATTAGTAGTCCTCCAGGAGTCAGTAAATCTAGATGGTAAACCCTGCGGAGATTTGGGTCCGTGCAGGTTCATGGGGTCTCGATAAGAGGCCGGAGGGCTCCAGGTCTTGTGCGTTCTGCTGAGGCAGCGGCCATGGAGAACGTTCTGGAATGCTTTATTGAACTCTTGGCTGAAACACGGGTAGATGATGGGGTTGAGGCAGCTGTTGAAGTAGCCCAGCCAGAAAGTAATTTTGAAAACAGTGTCCGGGGGTCTGTGAGATGGGAAAATTGAGCCTTCGGGGACACAAATAAGAAAAGACAAAATTACTATTTGCGGCAACAGACCTTCAGCTTCAGATTCATGAGGTCACTCCAAGACGGCAGCAGGTCAAATGGTTTTGGGGGTTTCATATTTTCAATGGCATTGCTTTGATGTGTCCCTTTCTTAGTATTCTGAAAGCTTTGAACCATACGCACAAATGATAATAGTATCTTAGCTGTCCAATTACTAAGCTGAAAGGCAGATAAATAAGCTGTATTTCCATAAAACATTAAGTGCAAGAACAAATGAAACAGATTCGCCTGCAAATACATTTGGAATATATTCAAAATATTTTGTTTTCTGAACTGCTGTTTTGCATATAAAACCCTTTATTGTAAGTGTGTTCTATGACTCTCAGAGTCCAAGCAGTCTGCAATATACTTTCTCTTTCTTTCATGATTCTTTCTTTCGTTGTAAACAAGCTAATTTAAAAGCTATTTCAAGGGGACCTGCAAGAATTATGTCCATGTTGTTTAGGAATAGAGTCATAGTGTGGGAGAAGCTTGGGTTGTTTTGAAACTTGTGAGAATAACAAAAATGTTAATGAAAGCATAATATCTAAAATGTGTTTCGCTTGAAAACAACGTGTCTATCAAATACGCTCATTACATATGGCTTATTTAGAGCATTACTTAGCACATATGTTCTCTGTGTTATTGCAAGTTGGGTTCACCCAAAACTTCTTTCATCATTTACTTGTCCTTATGTTGTTATAAATATGTATTTTATTACTTTACTTTTTAGAGAAATTAAAATGAATGAGGATGAAGCAGCCAAGCACTAAAATGGCACTAATGTACATTTCTGTTGAAGCTATATAACACATTTGTGTGAGAAATAGATCAAGATTTAAGTTTTTCAAAATAATCTAATTTTCGGCCGTGTATAATTACGATAAAATCTCAAATCTCGCTCTCAAATCTCATTCGTACTTTCAAATATTCAAATGGGCACATTCAATTAAGTAGTTTGGCATAAACTTTTAGCATTATTTTGAAGTAAAACAAATTATTTCAACAAAACATTGTTTTTTTTTTTTTTTTACTTTTGACCAAAATGCAAAAACAAAACAAGAACATGTTACGTTAAAGTGCCCCTATTATGCTTTTTCTTATGATTTTTCCACATGTAAATCTACTGTCAATGCTCCAGTCCAGTAGATGGCGGTAATGCACCTTAAAGTTTGGTTTGCCAACTGTCATTAAAACCATGAAGAAGAAGAAGAAGAAGAAGAACTGCCTGAGTCACCAGTAATTCCAGTCTACTCTGCATTCCAATGTCCACACTATCCATAAAAAGTGAGGTTCTTTTACGGTCTTACGGGTTTTGTACAGCATGGGGGTGAGTAATTAATGACTTAATTTTCATTTTTGGGTGAACTAACCCTTTAAGATGCCTTTTTGTCAATCGGATCATAAGTGCATTACGCTAAATACAGGAGCTTGTCCACTTTCGACCACCTCCAGAGGTAGTCGAAAACGCATTTGACCGGATTGCTTTCGTAGCGTAATAGTGTTCGAATAGCTGCAAAAGAACGCCTACTCTCAGCCTACTGACCTAACGCGTAAAAATTATGGGCAGATCGCTAGACAGACAGGATTTAGACTTTGACGGCAATTAAGAAGAAGCCTAAATGTCTGGGGGTTTTTTTCGTATCATTCTGTGGCTCTAAATTGTCAAAACACCTCTCAAAATTTTTGCAACAAATGCAAAAAAGGCAGAAAATTTGATCGATTCGAATATTTTTTGTGATGGACAACAGTTTCAGAGGCAGTGTGTAAACGTGATTGACATAGTGTGAGGTCGTATTTATTTTTTAATGTGCGATAATTTCGGATGAGATTTTCTAACTCTAGCAAGGAGGACCTTAAGTCTAACCTACATACTGTAGGTTAACAAATTTGCACAATGCTCGCCTATGGTCTTCACTGACTGCCCGGGAAAAAAAAAACATCTACAGACCCTCCCCCAAACACTGTAGTTGTGGCTGAGGCCCTGTTTACACGAGAACGCTCGCGGTGAAAACGTAAAAATATTTGATCGGATGCGCCTTTCGTTTACACGGTGACAGCGTTTTGGGGGCTTAAAAACGCAAAAATGTGAAACCACCCTCTAGTGTGGAAATCTTAAAAATGCTCCCTAGCCGCGTACCCATGTAAAGGGTAAAAACGCGAAAGTCTGCTAGACAGTGAAGGTTGTACGCAGGCGCGCGGACTTGGTTTTGTTGTGTGGAGCTGCTTCACGTTGCCACCAAGCTGCCTGGAGTGCATACTACATTGAATTTTACACACTTTTGCGTCACCTTATGCACGCGGATTTCCCACCCATAACGCTCGTCTAAACGCAGAATAAAAAGTGATAACGCAACGCCACTTTTGCGTATTATCTTCAGAATCGTTTCCATGTAAACATAGCCTGAGGCCTCGAAGAGTTTGGTTCATGTTGTCGACATGTTAAAACATGCTGTTTTTTTCCCTGCTACGAAAGCAAATCCACTTTGCATGCCCTTCCAAAGGATGAGGAACCAGACTTAAATCGATATGGTAAAACCAACACCATTGTTGTATGTATCACTGTGCATAAAGTGCTGAGGAAGCACTGGAGCTGAAATTTAGATAAGGTAATAGATTTTTTGTTTCTGATTTTATTGTGAGCAGTAGACCAATATCAACAGACTGGTCCATCTGACCAATCAGAGCAGAGAAAGCTCTTGGAAAGGAGGGGTTTAGAAAGACTGAATCGTTTATTGAACCGTTTCAGACACTGTGAGAAACAAAGAGATTCTACAGTGTATATTATGAGAAAATTAAAGTGTTTTTTAGCTTAAGTACTGTTGTAGGAGACATCCAAAGCTAATTTGGAAACCTTTTAAAATGCATAATTGGGGCACTTTAATTTAAATTTTAGCAAAGAGTATTATAATGTTTTTGGATGGGATTTGTGTTCACATACATGTCAAGTACTCACTTATGGGCAACACTAGGAAAAAAGGCAGCCAGCAGAGCACGAAACAGCCCACCACAATCCCTAGAGTCTTGCCTGCCTTCTTCTTCTGGAAGAACTTAATCATGAAGGTGAAGTGCGAGTGCTTCAAGTGGACGGCTTCCTCCTTACGACAGTGAACCCGCAGGGTTACTCCGTGCTCCGTCAACCCATTCTTCTGTCTGCTCTTACTCATGGAACGAGTCTTCCGCCGGGCCACCACGTACACTCTACAGTACATTGCCAAAATCACCGCCAACGGAACGTAGAAAGAGCATGCAGCGGAGAAGATGGCGTACCCCGGCTCTTCGTTAACTCTGCACACGGACTCGTCCTCCGGCATTGGATCCCTCCATCCAAACAATGGGCCTACAGAGATGGCAGCCGAAAGAGCCCAGAGAGCCGCCACTGCCGCCAGTGCCCTTCGACTCGTAGCCCAGAAAGGGTACTGCAGTGGGTAACTGACGGCGATGCAGCGATCCACAGAGATCACACAGAGGCTGAGGATGGACGCCGTGCAGCAAAGCACGTCAAGCGCGGCCCAGACATTACAGAAATGGCGGCCGAATACCCAGCGTTCCAAGGCTTCAGATACAGCGGAGAACGGGATCACCACAGAGCTCAGAAGCAGGTCTGCAACGGCCAGATTGGCGATAAAATAATGCGACACGGAACGAAAGTTGCGATGGCAGGCCACGGAGAGGATGACCAGGATGTTACCCATCACACCGAATATTATGAAGAGCATCAGCACCAGGCCCAAAGCCAGTGTCTTTGTGAGATCTATTTCAAACACAGGTATCCCAGTACAGTTGGGACAGTTCTCAGGAAAAAAGGTTGAACTTATGTTATCTTCTGCTGGGAACACGTTGGTCATGACGTCTCGATGCAAGCTACGAAGTTAAGTTTGAGTAGCAAACTGCAGTGATTGGTGTGCAGTCAATGTTGTGCAGATGATAACCATCCATGACTTTTAACATGTTTTGTGGTTTTAACTTCAACATGTTTCAGTAGTGATAGCAGTCACACTTGAGGACATTTGTGTGCCATTTAAGTTTCTCAGGTATGACTTTTGATCTTAGCCATCAGCCATCATCTTGCAACCTTAAAAAGAAAAAGAATAAGGAAAAAAAAGAAAGATTATAAACAGAGTTTCTGACATGATTTTGTTTTTGCCCCAGCAAGCAATGTGACTTATGCTAACCCATCTTAAATCAATTCTATTTTTTATACCATTTTTATCTACAACATGTTTTATGCATACATGTTCTGTTAACAAAGTTTATATTAACAACCCATACGTATAACTAAAGTGATTTAAGTTTCACTAACCTTATGAATTAGCATTTTAGCATTGCACTCCAAAAGTACAATTAAAACTGGTTCTTGGCTTTAGTCAGGCAGAATAACTTAAAGAATAATTTTTTTTATTGAACTGTAGTACTCAGTAGCTATGCGATTTCGGACACAGCTTCAGATGTGATCCATTCAGAATTATTCACCAATCAGTGTGAATGATTCAGTCCAAGATTGAGACCAATTGCGTTCTATTCAGATTCACCATTCATTTTCAATGATTAAATTTGGCTGATTGATTCATAAGTACCACACTTCAGGTTTATTCTTCGCAAATTTGTAATTCTCAATGAGCAATCATGGTTCTTACTGAGTTCATGGCTTCAATAATGACATATCAAGAATCAGTCGATATCTTAATTAGTATGTTCGGTTCAGACTGATTCACTGACTCATTCAAATGAAACAAATAGATTGAGGCAGATTGTGTACGGTATGTTTGCTTTTGCATGCAGTCCGTGAGGGGATCACAATTCATGGCCTCACAAATAAATGTTATCATAAAATTTATCTCGGTATCTGGCTGTACCACTTACGGCTCTGTATGACTGATTCTTAAGTAATGCATTATGTAATGAGATGGAAAAGTGCTTGCTTCTTCAAGTTAGTGAATTGTTTTGGTGTAGTAGTTTTGCCAAAATGCTCAAGACTCAATTCACAAAAGCCTTTTAGGACTCATCTATTTGTCAATTTGTTCAAGTGAACTATAAGCTAACATACAGGCCAAATCTTTCACTGAAGCAGAGCTAAGTCTCAAAAGCATTACATGCTGCATTGATTCTTTTCCTGTTCAAAAAACCCTAAGAAATGCAATTCAAGGTGAGATGCCAAAACTGATATTAAAAAGGCTTTCAAGTTGATTAAGTAAAGCTTGAGGAAATTTATGGATATATTTATAGACACAGCAATACTGAAATCCATATCTTGGATGGTATGTTGGAAATAAATATGCCTTCTGCGTACAAACAAAACCTAGGTAAATACATTAAAACTATACATTTATGATAAAACATTTTTTTTTTTTTTTCATTTGGGTGTGTACTGACTCAGAGTTTGTATATCATCTGCTGAGCCACATTTGGCTATGGGGGCCAAAATATACAGTGCCCAAAATCTTATGGATAATTTTATTATTATACAGTGTACTGAATGACAAATGTAACTGGACCAAACCGCTTCCTGTATTTTTGTTTGAATCAAAGACATTTAAAGGGTTAAGTTGTCACAATGGAAACTGTCACCGACGAGTCTATAGGCGTTTCAGCTAAATTTAAAAAGAATTCATGGAACAAGAACAACATAACGGTAGGTTGTTGTAGTTGACCCTTGTCTAAATGTATGTCAGCTTTTTTGTGTGTTCAAGTTGTACAAAAGCTACACCAAAAAAATATGGTAACTCAATTAAGAATGACTTCTGTGTCAACATTTGTACATGACTGCTGCTGTAAAGTCACATGATTCCAGTTGGCGCCTCTGAAAGACGATGTCTGTGTTAAAACTCCATAAAACAGGATAGTACACACACACTAACATATTTGATAGGCTATCTATAATATTGGATAAAATAGGCTAAGTAACATTGCTCATGATCACATATCAGTCACATTTATAAGCCCCATTCTGTATGGCTACTGGATTGACACGTTATAAAATCATTAGCTAAATGAATTGAAAAAGGAAATATTCATTATTTTTGGTTTCTTATATGATAGACAACTATTAAATTATGTTTTGTTGAATTTCTTCTTTTTTCAATTGACCAGAAAAAGTGAAATACATGTTGTGTCACTCATCTGAGAAAATATGGAGATTGAATGTGATTTGAACGAGACGCTTGATGTAGGCCTATAGCCTACAAAATTACAACATTTCTGTATTAGTCTATAGGACTTAAAACTTATATGCTAATTGTCTCTCAAATTAACACCAACACACTGCTACACTAAATAGCTTAATAGACAACAGTTTCACTTTGAAATCGATTAATTAAAAGCTCATCGGTAAGACAGGTTCATATGATTCCATAATAATAATTGCGTCTGTCAATCGCATGCAGCGTTCGCAATTATAACCAACTAACTTTTTTTATTGCAGAGGTTTCATCATTCCGACTAAACATCCTTTAAAAAATGTACACACTTACCATCATCCAGAGCAACATTGGGGGGAAAAAACGTTAGTCTTATTTCCATTCGTTCGTGATCTTTGAGAAAACAAATAATGCGAGTCTGATGAGGAATCTGATGGGATGCAATACTGTTTGTGCGAACATCCCATAGGCTGCTCACTTCCATCTCTCTCTCTCTCTCTCTCTCTCTCTCTCTCTCTCTCTCTCTCTCTCTCTCTTTCTCTCTCTCTCTCTCTCTCTCTCTCTTTCAGAATGTACAGATGGTAAAAGGAAGCAAAGGAAGGCTATACACATATACTGTCTGTATCGTTGTTTTAAACATTTATCGTTCTGTTTCTGTTAATGTAACGTTTTTTTTAGCTTTCTAACTTACACATTTCTCACAAAGTCAAAGTATTTTGTACATGTTCATTTAAAAACAATCTGAACTGAAAAAAAAAAAAAAGTATTACAACTAAAAACTACTTTTTTGGTGGGCCTGTGAAGGTACTGTAGGCCTAATTCATCAGCATTAGTAATGAAAGTGAACGTCACAGACAGAAAAACTAACAACAAAAACAACAACAACAAAACAGTGTGATTAAAACTGTCCATTGCCAGCTCCTGGTCCACATATACTTTCATTGATTGGAAAAGAGCGGCATGGACATTCTTCAAAACATCTGTTTGTGCTCCACAAAAGACAGAATATCATGGTTTATAATGACATGGGAGAAAGAATGAATAAGAACACACTTTAAATTTAATATTTTATTCCAAATACAAATAAATTAATTTATGCACCTTTTTTTCTTAGAAGAATGAGTTTTATTTATTTGTTCGGCTACATGCATCATAGAGCAACTGTTGTTTATCTAATGTCCATGAGCTTTTGATCAATAGCATGCATCGATTGTTTGTTTTCTTTCTTAAGTTCTTCCTATTCCCCCTTGTTGTGCATTAAAAAACAGAACTTTATGCAGAAGTTTAATGCAAGCATGATGGATTGCTTGCATTGAATTTAATTATGTTGGCATACCCTCCTTTGTTGTCACTTTAAACTATTGAAGCACTGTCCTCAAAGCTGCAGTCTCAAGACGTGCTGCGAATGTTAAAGGTTCTTCATTGTTTTATTGTACGGTTACTCTGGAAGCCAGCCAACGTCAGCAGTTGCACAAACCATAAAGCATATGGAAGGAAGAAGGAAGCTAACAACCAACAGATCAGAAGTTTAGCACTTGAAAAGTGTATTGGCCTGTAGAACACAAATCCAGTCCAACGGATCCAGACATTTGAATAAACAAAAAATACCAGTACGTTGCTGTCATAGTGCTTATTCTCACTGTATTAATATCATAAGAATTATGTTTATGAATATAAAATGAAATCAATAATATGTGGGTATATAATAGGCTATCTAAATAAATAAATAAAGTAATTTCTGAACAGAAAAGAAGTTCCACCTCTGTGAAGAATTGAACTCACTGAACTCACTGAAAAACTCTTTGAACTCACTGAACTCTGCTCAGCAATATCATTCTGAACCAGCAGGTAATGTCAAATTATTCATAATGGACAAAAAAGCGTAACTTATTGGTAATTTAGTGTACTAGGAGCTGGTGTTGGTGGAGAACAAAGCACTTCAAATTTCAATTAATTGAATCTGACGAGCAGGTAAATTTAATTTGATCAATGTAATTTATTATTATTATTATCAATATATTATTATCATTATTATTATTAAATCTAATCTAGATAAAAACAGGTCATTTTGAATAATAACTAAGTATTTTTTTATTTTAATTGTTTGTTTATGTTTTGTTTTACAGTCAATTGATACACACTAATTGACTGGTTTTAAATTTAGTTGTTTTACTGATGGACTGTATTCAAATTTAAATTACTTTAACGTTAGCCATTTATCCTATTCATTCATTTGTTTGTTTGTTTATTCATCTGGTGCATTCCGATTTATTAATTGTAGCCTAATTATGTTTCTAAGTAATGTAATGCTTAAATTCGATTTAATATGTGGTTCTTTTAAAGGAAATGGCAAAAATGTGTAGTTTAATTATATTACTCGTTGACATTCTTTCATTTGCAGAAGACCAGTTGCTATCATAGACAGTGAAAGAAAGGTTGCTATTGGCTGCCGCTGGTCTTCTTTCATGCGCGCGCATGTTGGAATGGGAATAAGGAAGTAAACAATGTCCACAGAGGGACAAGTTGTTAGTGTTTTTAGGGGACAAAACAAAGTTTATGTAGTGCAGTGGCAGTAGTGGATCAAAATTCAGGTCGCCTGCCCGAAACAACATACAACAACGCAGTGTCTTTCGTTATTTTGTCTCTAGTGAAATAATAAAGGCACGACTTTGCATTAGCTGGTGAGTACGTTTCTATTCTAAAACTCAACTCCTTCAACATTTTTCGAAGTTGCACATGAAACAAATATTATTGGAGTACATTTTACTGTTTGTTTATGAAATAAACTAGCATTTTATTTTGTAAGAATTGTGTTAAAGTAAACCCTACACATTATATATATAGCCTATTTTATTTCAGAGTATAGCCTAACGCACACAGATGAGGTCTGACCGCAATATAAGATTACACAGACTGCATAAATAACCATTTGGGTTTATTAAATAACCATATAATAGCTCACATTAAATTATTATATCTTATAATAGATAATAGACTATATCACCAGGATGCTATCAAATGACAGTATTTGAATTTAGGCTATGTAGCTACGTAATTTCAAATGAAAGGGAGCTAATCCAACCTGATTTTTATGCTGAACTAATTGTGTGGAATTTGTTAACATTCTTTCTGGTCTCCCAGAATAAACCACGACAGGAGCGGATGCAGTCTCTGATAGTCTCAGTATAGTTTGCTGCTTTTCATCCTCATCATCATCCTCAAGTGCCAACAAACCTATACATCATGATTGCGACACGTAACAACACTGCCAGTGCTGCTCCCAACAATAAAGTGAAATACTCCAGATTGGCAGATAGTGATGAAGGCTACATTGATCTACAGGTGAGAAAACTTGAAGCAGAAAATATCTACAGTTATATGAAAAAGAAAGTACACCCTTTTGAATTTTTATTTTGCGGATTAGGGCATAAAAAAACCATCTGGTCATTAGCAGGTCTTAAAATGAGGGAAATACAGCCTCACAACAACACATGACATATTACACTGTGTCATTATGTATTGGGTGAAAAAAAAAGCCATGGGTGAAAAACTAAGTACACCCCATGATTTAATTGCTTATCGAGCCACTTTACGCAGCAATAAGTTGATGTAGCCTAATCATTTTCTCTCAAATCATTGTAGAAGAATTTTGGCTCACACTTCATTACAACGTTGCTTCAGTTCATTGATGTTTGTGGGAATTTGTTTATGCACAGCTCTTTTAAGGTCCTGTTGCTACATTTCAGTCGGGTGAGGTCTGGACTTTGACTGAGCCATTCAAACTACTTGATTCTTCTTCTTCTTCTTCTTCTTTTTTCTTTTTTTCCAGCCATTGTGCTAGTGTGTTTTTGATCATTATTGCATGAGCCAATATCAGCCAAGCTTTAGCTGTCGGCCAGATAGCCTCACATTTGACTCTAAAATACTTTGGCATAGCGGAGTTAATGGTCGACTCAATGACTGACTGCAAGCTGCCCTGGTTCTGTGGCTGCAAAACAATCCAAAAATCATCATCCCTCCATCGGTTGGAATGAGATGTTTGTGCTGATATGCTCTGTTTGGTTTTCTCCTAACTTGGTGCTGTGCATTATGGCTTAAAGTGAAAATTAGGTCATTATTGACCCTCATGTCGTTCCAAGCCCATAAGACCTCCATTCATCTTCAGAATACAGAGAATACAATGTTTAATACAGTCATAGTTTTTGTTATTTTTGGTCCAAAATGTATTTTTGATGCTTCAAAACATTCGAACCAACCCGCTGATGTCACATGGACTACTTTGATGATGTCTGTATTTCCTTTCTGGACAAGGACAGTATACCGTACATACATTTTCAATGGTGGGACAGAAAACTTTCGGACTAAATCTAAAATATCTTAAACTGTGTTCCGAAGATGAACGGATTTTTGGGTGAACTAACCCTTTAACATCTCCACTTTGGTCTTGTCTGTCTAAAAGTCTCCAGATGTTCAGAAGTCTTGTCGTTTTAGTTCAGTCTTTTTCTAATTCCACTGCCATGAACTTTAACATTTAACATGTTAACTGAGGCCTGTAGAGTCTGAGGTGTAGCTCTTGGGTTATCCCATTATCCTGGGGTGAATTTGCTGGAATTTGCGTCCACTCTAGGGAAGATTAACAACTGTCTTGAATGTTTTCGATTTGCGAATTATCTTCCTTACTGTAGAATAATGGACTTCAAATTGTTTGGAAATGGCCGTATAACCCTTCCCAGATTGATGGCAGAAACAATAGCTTCTCTAAGATCATTGCTGATGTCTTTCCTCCTTGGCATACATACACCTGGAGGCTCCAGACCAAAAAAACTGAAAAAAAAAAAAAAACGTCTGCTTTTATAGAGTTAATCACACTCTGATGATCAGTAAATTTGATCATAAGCTCTTGACTGCTACTTATCCTCTTAATTTCCTATGGAAGTTGTAAAGGGTGTACTTTAGTTTGTTCTCCATTTTGGCCTAGTTTTTGCTATGATTGGTATTCTGCCCTGGTATGCAAAATAGAATTTCTTTTTCACATGACTGTAAATGATATTACATACGGTATGTATCTATTGTGTCATGTATTAAATGAAACACTGTTTTATAGTTCAAGAAAACCCCACCTAAAGTACCCTACAAGGCCATTGCCCTGGCAACATTCTTATTTCTGATTGGCTCTGTATTGATAATTATTGGATCACTTCTTTTGGCGGGATACATTAATGTCACGGTGAGTAGACAAAACTGCAGTATTGTAATACGTAGTATCTGTCAGTCACAATGTTTGACAGTAATTTATGGTCTTTTTATAGCACCCAGATCGCACAATTCCAGTCCTCATCATCGGCGTACTGATCTTTCTTCCTGGATTCTATCATTTGCGGATCGCTTATTATGCTTCCAAGGGTTACCGTGGTTATTCTTACGATGACATCCCAGACTTTGACAACTAAACGGATCTAGTCGTAGTACTAGCTGTTACTTCTGTGTGTTTTTCTGCTGCTGTTATGCATGATTTGCCTTCAGACATTCATTCTCCGTTTACTATAAGTCTCTTTAGGAGAGAAACCGTGGCACACAGTGGCTTGGCTGAGCTTTATTAAGCTGAATACCTTTATTTTACCAAAAGAAAAATGAAGTGCAATATTAAGAGTATTTATTTAGCTAAATACGTAAAAAAGCCAACAAGAAATATGCTGATATTTTTGCTAGCTTTTGTACAACTGTTTAAAATATAATTTTCAAAACTATAAATGTATGTTTCCTGTAATGGAGAATCTGTTATTTACTGTATACACTATCAGTGAAACATTTGGACACAATTTATTTTTTAATTTTATATAAAAATGTACACTTTTTCTTTTTTTTTAACATGGATAAATTAACCTGGGAAGTGAAGAAATGTATTTAAAAAAAAGCATCAAATAGACATGTGACCCTCTTCACAATGTAAAACAGTGTAGTAGCTGCAATAATTAAACATAATTATGATTTGTTTCTCTTTTTTTGTGTAGTTTTAACTGTATGCCATTATTTTAAAATGTGGATAATTGTAAAAATAAAGACTGAGGTCATGTGTCCAAGGTTTTACTGGTAGTGTAGTTAAGTTGTTGTGGCAGTATTGTTTTGTGGAATAAACTGGTTTTATTCAGACATCTATTTGGTTTGAAAATGACAGAATGAAGTATTGATGTTCACCTTCTTGTGCTGCTTTATTTTGAGAGAGCAAAGAGTGTTGTATTTTGAGAACCACAGAAGGTTATTTAGAAGGATAGAGTAATTCAATATTTTAAATTCAAAGATTAATATTCTTTGAAAAGTTTGACAGTGACAGTATTACAGTCTTTATCCTGTGTGTGTGTATACATATAAACAGTCATGTGAAATAATATTACAAATTAAAATAATGGTTTTCTATTTAAATATACTTTACAGTATAATGTAGTTCTGTGATGCAAAGCTGTATTTTTATCTGCCACATATTGTCACTCGATCCTTTAGAAATAATTCTAATATGATGAAGGATCTGCTGCTAAACGTCTTGGTGCCAGATACACCACCAGATACAGATGCCAGATACACCTGCCATTACTGAAGTTCATCTTGTAGAGTCCGTCTCGGCGGGTCGGCGTGGTTTTGGCAGCATTCAGAAGACCAACAGCATTCTAGGTAGGTGGTCATAATGTTTTGGCTCAGTTATAGGTATATACAGGTAGGTTGTTTAGAATGGTGTATCAGTGTTATTTTAGAATTATTGTATTTTCGAATAATATTTTGAATTTGATTTTTATATTTTACATTTTAATTTTAGTATTAGTAATTTAGTTTGGTTTTGGTTAATGTGTTATATGTAAAACACACACACACACACACATATATATACAATTACAGTTATTTTAGAACAACTAAATAAAAAATGAGAAATGTTGAAAACAGCTAAATAAAACCAGTTCATAATTAACATTTATTATGTATATATATATATATATATATATATATATATATATATAATAAATATTAACTTTATATATATATAAAATATAAAGTTAATATTTATTTTATTTATTTTGTTAACTTTAATAACACTGTAGTGTAATACCTTCCCTTTTTGTCTTACATTGTATTCTTGAAGTATAATATTTTTCTATCCGTACAATATATGGATGACATTCTGGATTTGCAAAAATTTGAAGTGGGGAAACAAAAGACAAAGAACTAGGTGCTGCTTGTATATCCCAGAATGCAATGAGCTGTACCCTACTTTCGGTTCTGTGGCTTGCTGAATTCATAAATGTAATGGGGACATCAATGTAGAGGAGGTAGTAGTAATGTCGCTGCACTGTACTGAACAGAGAAAAAAACGAGAACTTTACTGTCCTCTACTGGTAAATAGGTTCAAGTGTTTTTACCCACGGCATATCAAGCTGTCTACCGCTAGGGGGCATTCAAAATAGTGTTTCATCTCATAAAATGTACAGTGATTTGAGTTTTCTTGAGTTTCTCAAAGACTGTTTGTTTTGGAAAGCCAACATTTTAATACAATATACCCATATATCAGCCACCCACCCACACTGCTGCAACATGTGTATATTATAATATATGTACAATTTTACTTGTGCACTTCACTAAAATGGTACAACCCGAATTCCAGAAAGTTGGGACGTTTTTTAAATTTGAATAAAATTAAAACTATACGACTTTCAAATCACATGAGCCAATATTTTATTCACAATAGAACATAGATAACATAACAAATGTTTAAACGGAGAAATTGTACACTTTTATCCACTAAATGAGCTCATTTCAAATTTGATGCCTGCTACATGTCTCAAAATAGTTGGGACGGGGACACGTTTACCATGGTGCAACATCTCCTCTTCTTTTCAAAACAGTATGAAGACGTCTGGGCATCGAGTTTATGAGTGTCTGGAGTTTTGGTGTTGGAATTTGGTCCCATTCTTGCCTTATATAGGTTTCCAGCTGCTGAAGTGTTCGTGGTCGCCTTTGACGCATTTTTCGTTTAATGATGCGCCAAATGTTCTCTATAGGTGAAAGATCTGGACTGCAGGCAAGGCCAATTCAGAACCCGGACTCTTCTACGACGAAGCCATGCTGTTGTAATATCTGCAGTATGTGGTTTTGCATTGTCCTGCTGAAATACACAAGGCCTTCCCTGAAATAGACGTTGTCTGGAGGGGAGCATATGTTGCTCTAAAACCTTTATATAGCTTTCAGCATTCATAGTGCCTCCCAAAACATGCAAGCTGCCCATACCGTATGCACTTATGCACCCCCATACCATCAGAGATGCTGGCTTTTGAACTGAACGCTGATAACACGATGGAAGGTCTCCCTCTTCTTTTGTCCGGAGGACACGGCGTCCGTGATTTCCAACAAAAATGTCAAATTTGGACTCGTTTGACCATAGAATACTTTTCCACTTTGAAATAGTCCATTTTAAATGAGCCTTGGCCCACAGGACACGACGGCGCTTCTGGACCATGTTCACATATGGCTTCCTTTTTGCATGATAGAGCTTTAGTTGGCATCTGGAGATGGCACGGCGGATTGTGTTTACCGACAGTGGTTTCTGGAAGTATTCCTGGGCCTATTTAGTAATATCATTCACACAATCATGCCGATGAGTGATGCAGTGTAGTCTGAGGGCCCGAAGACCACGGGCATCCAATAAAGGTCTTCGCCTTTGTCCCTTACGCACAGAGATTTCTCCAGTTTCTCTGATCTTTTGATGATGTTGTGCACTGTAGATGATGAGATTTGCAAAGCCTTTGCAATTTGATGTTGAGGAACACTGTTTTTAAAGTGTTCCACAATCTTTTTACGCACTCTTTCACAGATTGGAGAGCCTCTGCCATCTTTACTTCTGAGAGACTCTACCTCTCTAAGACATCCCTTTAATCATGTTACAGACCTGATATCAACTTAATTAGTTGCTATAGATGTTCTCCCACCTGAATCCTTTCTAAATTTCTTGCTTTTTCAACCATTTGTTGTCCCCGTCCCAACTATTTTGAGACCTGTAGCAGGCATCAAATTTGAAATGAGCTCATTTAGTGGACTAAAGTGTAAAATTTCTCCATTTAAACATTTGTTATATTATATATGTTCTATTGTGAATAAAATATTTGCTCATGTGATTTGAAAGTCGTATAGTTTTCATTTTATTCAAATTTAAAAAACGTCCCAACTTTTCTGGAATTCGGGTTGTAAATGGACTGCATTTATATAGCGCTTTCATAGACTTTCATTTCTAAGTTAAATTGGCTGTATAAAACCAGTGTGTAATATTGAAACGTAACAATCATGTTTTAGTTAATTATTGCCGTACATTTAAACTACAATATGTAAATTAAAGCAAAATCAACATTAACTTTTAATAATACATCTGTGAAAGCTTTGTGAACTTATGTAAAACACTAGTAAAAAATAAATATGGAAAATTCTGTCAAATTAATATGCAAGGTTATTTGACAAATGGCAAAGTCATAGTGTCGTGCCTTTTTGCTTCGCTTTGTTTTGTGTTATCAGAACAGGACACTCCTATCTGTTGTGCATTTCCTCTCTTGTGTCATACTGAAAACAGACCTTGACACAGCCTTGTTGTGCCGAAAAAATTGGTATAAAAACTGTTTGCTAAAATAAAAGGGGGAGATACCTGACAATTAAAAGGAGTTCTTTATTAATAGCCTATACATACAATTATAATATTATGTTATGGCAAGGTTTTACATCGACATTGCAACTGTCCCCATTCAGTACTGACAGCCATGATAAAACTTAGCTCGACACGACAGTTTTTACACAATCATGCTATCCCCTTTTAGATGCTAAGAAAACACAGATTGAAATGTTACTTTTAATGCGTCACGCAAACTCTTTAGACAGTATGACAAAACATTCAGGTCATTAAAAAATACATTTTAACTTTAAATGTATTTGTTTTGCAGAAGGAATGGTCACATGTGGCAGCTTTCTTCCAGGAAGGAATTGAGGCTAATTGAGCATGTGTAACATTAATATTATATTTTGATGTCATTCATGATTGGAGAAATAAGCCATGTTGAAACTGTCCCTGCTTGCCACAATAGTAGGCTTAAAATACCAGGTTTAACAAAACAAATTTTTATACCATAAATGTAACAAGGAGCATTTGGCCTGGTCAAATTTAAAGGCCCTTGGGGTAGTGAGCTCGTCAAGGCGCATTAAAAGTAAATGATTTTAAAGGGATAGTTCACCCAAAAATAAAATTTCTGTATTCATTTACTTCATTTAACATGTATGAGTTTCTTTCTTCTGCTGAACTCAAACAAACAAACAAACAAAAAAGATATTTTGAAGAATGTCCCTAATTGGCCCTCTCCTTTTTAAGACATTTGACATAATCTAATAATAATTATAATAATGATATTAATAACAACAATAATAAGGATTAGCCTATTAATATTGACAGTGATGATAGTTAACAATGGTAATAATTAAATATTGTTCATAAGAAGACAGCATTTATTGGGTAATGAGCCTATGATTTCCAATGCAGGTAAAGCATAATGTGTTGTGTATGTTTGCATTATTCATACAACTCTATACATTATCAGCACTGAAATTCATGGCAACACATTGCATTCTTTTCCCAATTAGGCCATATTTGATCCAACCCACACTTCAAACAACATCGTTCATTGTCGTCGTCATTGTTCATCATCCTGTGTGCTTGCAGGCTCAGGAGTGATTTATGTGTGCCCAGATGACAAACAAGATCAGAATCTGGACCAAAGTACAAGAGACACACCTCGGTATTATGAGAGTTATCTAGTGAAATAACTTATGCCTGAAGAGTTCAGATGCAAAAACCATAAATGCCATTTGAAATTTTCTTCTTTAATGATGTACAAGCTTGATAAAAATTATCATTCTAGAAGAAAATTTCAAATGGCACTTAGAGGCCCCTCTTTCCTTTTTCCCATTTTTTTTTTTTTTTTTTTTTTTTTTTTTGGTTCCTGCTGGACCGCGTGCTCACTGCGCATGCGCACAGCATTAGTTTGATTAAACCCCAGCGGGAGGAGTGAACTCAACGCGAGAGGTGCACTGATGCGCGAGCTCAAACCTCCCATAGTGACAAAGTTTATGCTCTTGTTTTCTTCACATTATTTATAGAAATTAGAGGAAGATAAATACTACTCGCAGAGTTTCTTAAGTTGCCCTTGAGATTTGATTGTGATGTGGAATTAACGCATGAGAGAATATAATTTCTTACTTTTGGAATAATTGTCTTCGTGGTATTTTCCGTCATCAAGGCAAAACAGCGCTGCTTACTGCAGCTGATACATGAAGTGATACAGGTGAGTAGCCTATACACAGCAGCCTAAAACAGTTTAGTATGTTACAAGTTTCTATGATAGATTTCTTTGAAAGAAGAAACATTTCTAGATTAAAAATGTTATTGACATAATTTTGGAGCGGTTATTAAATTCAGAATAGCTTAGGCAATAGTTTAAATCGCTCGTATCTTTAAGCGCTTACACAGCTGACAAAAATATGTTCAAAGAATGTTTTGCTTATGTTCCCAATAAGTTATAAAATCGCTATTTTTAAAAATGTTCCCTTAATTTAAAATGTCCAATATTTTTAATCTTAGTTATGCGAACGTTACGGGAACATTCAACATTATGGGAACGTTTCAGAATGTTAAACACTATGTAACTTAAGTTAACTTAAAAACAAACAAACAAACAAACAAAAAACAAGTATAACATTTCAAAAACAGATTAATATCCAAACTATCTATCTATCTATCTATCTATCTATCTATCTATCTATCTATCTATCTATCTATCTATCTATCTATCTATCTATCTATCTATGCCTGTCTGTCTGTCAGTCTATCTATCTGTCTGCCCATCTCTTTTTATATAGCCTTAAGCACAGGATCATGTTCATTTGCCAAACTTAAGATGTGTGTGCATTGCCAGCAATATTTTATGCTCTTGGCTATGTGATTTGTGTGTTTCTTTAAAAAGTGGGGTATTTATCTAGCAGTTGACTGCCAGTTGCACTTCAGCGTGGAGGAATTAAAGTGGTTTGTTGCCCCTGCAAGGGTCCAAGTGTGGGGGGCAGGTCAAGTTAGGGCAAACAAAATACCATTATCTACCCAACATGGAGTCTTACAAAGTTTAAAACAGGTTTAGGCTAGAAATCTGTTTATCTAATGAATTTCTGACCTGACCATTTCTGACCTGTTCTTCTACAACACACCATACTATAGACATTTAATCACTCCCTCCTCTTGTATTGCCATTACTGAAGTTCATTAAGCGTCTATTGATCAAACTTTCCTGAGTGTAAATAATCAATATTGAGTGTAAACAAAGGTTGTGACAATGGATTTTCCTTTTTTGTCAGAGTTAGCCCAGTGTGACTCGCGCGTACATTCAGAGTGAGTCATGCTTAATGTAGTCAAATTCACCAGAGTATACGCCGGTCAGAGAGGCATCGCTCTTATTTACTGTGATATTAATCAGTCACTTTATCCCAGGCTCACTGCAGCCAGATTATCCTGGATTACACTCGGATCCCAGGTCTCATGAATCACTGAGCTTTCATGCACAGTACCATGCAATGTATGGATTATGATGCTTGCACACAATGTTGTAAATGATTATCACTTTTTGGAAAATGGATAATCTGTAATCAACACTGTCATGGATATGGCGCTTTCTCTTTTCACCAAATGGCTGATTGTTTGACACTTTTAACAATCTTCATGCTTTTTTCCTGTCACTGGAAAGGTTTTGTTTGCGTTGGCGCCATGGACATTTGCATGTTGGTGACTGACAAATTCATGGTCAACTTTTGGCTTCACTGACATAGTTTCCTTACACAAACAGTGATCTCATTTCTTTCATTTTTAGATCATTTTAACTGACAATACAACTGATAATACAACCAAAACAATTCATATATGGCAGCTAAATCTCTATTATCATTCTAAAATGAGTTTGCAATTGTTTTTTAAGTGCACATCTGGCTACATCATCTGTTCGGTTCATATAAGGGGTATTGTTGGTAGCTTTGTAAATTAAGGAAAGTGGGTTAACATTTCTGACCTCTACAAATCGATGTTTGTCCATTTGTCTGATTAAATCCGTGAGTTCGTCAGTGTAGGGAATCTGCTCTGAGCCTCAGTTTCAAGTCCAGCTGCTACTGATCTGTTTATTTGCTCTAATGAACGAATGCTTTTGTAAATGTAGAGCTCACTTTCACAGTATGACATGACTACTGTTTTAAAGGCTTCAGTAGTTGTTGTCTTGCAGGTTACCAGTGTGAACGTCTCTTGTTTGTTTCGTCCTTTACAATGTTTGCTTTGCTTCTTTGAAGCTCGAGTTAGTTTATTGCTTTGGACATCTCAAAGGAGCACAATCATGTGAGGTTTTGTTGCATCTTTGGCCTCATTTAAAGTCATGAATCACCTCTTGAATCTCATTTTACTTTCATAATTTGGGATATAAATTGGGAATTTAAATGTCAAAATTGGGCGTTATGTAGAGCGCTGCTACAGTGATGACAATAGACCAACCTAGAAGTTTGCATCACCCTGATTTCCCCAACAAAAACCCATTAAGAGTTTTCCATTTAGATTATTGCAGAAAATAAGCGCTGCGACCAATTCTTACATGTTTTGTTCATTATGATAACACAACTTTTGTGAATCAGCAGATGTCAAAAGCTAAATAAGAGAACTACACCACGATCACATGACGTCACCATCAGTAAGTTTCTGACACCTCTTTCGCTCTTTGTTTAAAAGCATTTTCCCTGTAAGTTCAAGTAAATTGTAAGAGAGTGATTATTAGCACAATGAACATGGACTATATTGTGTAGATGAGTTTACCTGTTCGTCCTGGTGACGTTTAAAGGGTTAGTTCACCCAAAAATGAAAATTAAGTCATTAATTACTCACCCCCATGCTGTACCAACCCCGTAAGACCTTCGTTTGTCTTCGGAACACAAATGGAGATATTTTTGATTAAATTTGAGAGCTGTATAACTACCACATTGGCTCCTAAGGGACTGCCTCTTGACGGCCCAAAAAGTCAATGAAGAAAATGTTTAAATATCCCAAGTGACTACCGTGGCTCAACTATATGTTTATCAAGCGACGCGAATACTTTTTTGTGCGAAAAAACAAACAAAAATAACGAGTTTATTCGACTATTTCTTTTCTTCCTTGTAGGCCAGAACGAGACTTCCTTATAGATTTCCACGACGCATGCGCGAGAATTGCGATCTAAGTTGGTGTAAGCAGATCGCAAATCTCGCGCATGCGTCGTGAAAATCTAAGGAATTCTCGTTCTGGCCTACAAGGAAGAAAAGAAATAGTCGAATAAACTCGTTATTTTTGTTTGTTTTTTCGCACAAAAAGTATTCACGTCGCTTGATAAACATATAGTTGAGCCACGGTAGTCACTTGGGATATTTAAACATTTTCTTCATTGACTTTCTGGGCCGTCAAGAGGCAGTCCCTTAGGAGCCAATGTGGTAGTGATACAGCTCTCAAATTTAATCAAAAATATCTTCATTTGTGTTCCGAAGACGAACGAAGGTCTTACGGGGTTGGTACAGCATGGGGGTGAGTAATTAATGACTTAATTTTCATTTTTGGGTGAACTAACCCTTTAATGTTCTGACAACCTTTGTACTCTCCCATTTAACCTCTCGTCGGCAACCTTATTTTACAAGACTAGAACAGCTTTAAAAAAAGATGTATTACTGATGTACTTTTATGTTGTAGAATAAAGTGTAAAAATATCTTGAATTTGTGCTCACCACAAATCTTATTTCATTATTTTAACAAAAAACATTTATTTATTTTTTAAAATTATTTATTTATTTGTAATAACATAACCCTGGAAAACACAAGTTACAAAAGTGTCAATTTTGATTTCTTGTTGACTTAAGGTCAAATTGACCCCAGTCATACAATAAAAATTTGGCCTAACACTCCTTTATCTGATGTTATAACATATTATTTATAGCCAACTTGATTAAACTAAATTTCTCAGTGTTATTGTCATCTTCATTTATTTGTATGCAGAATAGGTCAGATATGACCTATATGAATAATCAAATGACTGTTGATCCTTTCACATTAAGGTTAAGCTTAGAATGAGTGGACTATATTTAGCTTTCACGCTCGATTTGGCCCAGTTCCTTCACAACACAGCCAGATTTATGGACTGACGTGAGTTTCACCCATCCTTTGTAAAAGCCAAGAATGAATGGACGACCCAACTCTTTCAATGCCTGGAATTAGCATAACCCACAATGTGGTCGCAGTTTGGTGTCTTTATAGACATAAAACAGTATAATACAACGTTTATTTCCTGGTTATTTTAAAGGCCAAGTACTCTAACCCTTGTTCCCAAAGGTTAATAAATAGGTTTTACTGTTGGTTATTGAAACTACAGTAAAACAGTAAATCAAAAAGACAGCTTTTGTGAGCTTTGTAATTTATGTAGGACTTTGGTCTAGCTGGGATGGTGCCCTGCTGACAAAAATATGATCTTAGAAGGAGTTGCTTATGCTCTCATGAAGATATGGAAACATCTTCGGTATTTCTGAATGTTCAAAACGACACGATTTGAGTCTTTTTTTTTTTTGGTTTGTTTATGTGAGCCTTAGAGAAAACATGAATGGGAATGTTCCATTTTATCATTTTTCAAACATGGGAACATTTCCGAACGTTCTAAATTGTTATGTTTTGAGAATGTTATTAAAGGCCAGATAACTTTACCTGAAGAAAGTTAAAAACTTTGAGAGAACCTTGCTCAAAAAAGTTTTGAGAACCGTTCCCTGTTAGCTGGGTGTCTACCCTTAGAAGGCAGCAAACCATAGCAGAACGCAGACCTACCGGCTTTTGTCAGAAAAGAACTGGTTTATCAGCATCCCATAGAGCTTATATGGTGTATTTTACATTGTACAAAAAAAAATGTATGACTTAACTACTTAAGTTCTCAGATTTTTGTTCCACAATGTTTCTGATTCGCTGAATAGGCGCTGAATAGTGAACAGACTGGTCGCTGAGTGTGCGGTGAGAAACGTGTGACCTGTGGGATTGTCTTTGGACCCCATTCAGCAGTCTTTAAGAATGGCTCTCGCTCAGTGCACACAGGGGGTAATGAGTGGGGGTTTGCATTGTGCGCTGGTACATAGCACAGGCTCACAGTGAGCTAAGTGGAGTGTTAGCTTTACCCTTCGGACGAATCACACGCTTTAGTATTTACAGAGACACCTAACAGACCTAATGCTTCCTGATGTGTTAATGATTTACCAAAGACCACAATGTTAGACTGATGACTCAATGACATTCGGCTGCAGTTGTATATGTTCTCTGAAGGCGTTTTATCAATTGTCTTGCAACTTCCTACCCACATAGCCATTATTGATGGTACACTGTAAAGTCATCTTTGCACAGGTCATGTATATACTTTGTAAGTTGACATGATGTGACCAGTTTCCTGCAGTGTGTGTGACATGCATTTGTATGTTTTCAATATCAGTCAACACCATCAGATAAAAGAAAATCATTATAATGTATAATTTATATCAGAAATGTATTATAAATATACATTTACTTGAATTAATTAATAAATTCATTAAAATTACTGAACAGTTTAAAAGATTCATAGTGGTTTTAGCTCTTTCTGCTTAATTGTTGCCACAGTCCGATTAATATATTTATGACATAAATAAATAATATTTTTAAAGAAAAGGCTTTTCAGTGGAATTACATTATAATGCAACGTTTAATTCTGCATAGATAATAAACGAGAAGCTGTTTCAGTAGTTACAGTTTATTTAATCTTTCTAGAGCTGAAGGTATCTCACGTCGCTTGTAGATTGAGTCATAGCGCATGAATCTCATTTTACAGTTTAAGTTTAGTCATGAATTAATTAGTTCAAAGCAAATGTTGTTGTGCTAATTTAATGTGGTTATATATACAATATAATCCGTACATAAGATCCCATAATCCTACTGTGTCCTCTGAGATTATAGAAACAAGTAAAGCAAGAGAGGTGTGGTGATTTTTGTGACATATTGTATGCTTTCACAGTGGTTGAGGTTTGTTTGGTTGTTGTCTGATCTATGTTTGATGTTTTGTAGGTATGTGAATCTGTATGAATCCCCATCATGCTACTGAAGATTCTTCCTCTATTGGAAGTCATTGTTGCAGTACTATCCCTATTCAGTGAGTATTTTACAGTAACTACTTTACAACTGATATGCACAAACATGCAGGATCAAAGTCACTGGTTTAAACCTCTGGTGTTCTTTGGTCATTTTTGATTGAAAAACAATCAAAAACAACTTTTTTTTTTCATTAGAGTGGTACGAAACTTAGTATGGAAACAATTAGTATGGATTCAAAAAAGGTTAAATGGTCCTGGAAAAAAAAAAAAATCACACTTGTACTCCTCGCGTGTACTCTTTATGACAGCATTGGAAATTAATGCAAACTTTTGGTAGTGTGGCCAAACAAAATCAAATATGGAACACAACTTGTTTTGATATATGGCTTTGAATTTCTTGCACTTTAAAATAATGTTGTATTATTATACTTACAATACTCACAACTTTTATTTTTACTTACAAAATGTGCACTTATTCTCTCATCATTTTAGTTCACACAAGTGCAGCTGAAGCCCACGTCCGTGCAAAGAAAGGGGACACTGCTGTGCTGACATGCAGTCTACCAGCCCCGGACAAGGGCAGTACTGCCCCTCAGCATGTCATAGAGTGGGTGCGTCAGGACTACGATATCCCCATCCTCATGCACTTTGGAGTGAACAATCTTCGAGTGCATCCCAACTATGATGGTAAGTGCCTTAACGCTGAGAGCTTATTGCAGGGGTCAGCAACCTTAGACACATAAAAAAGGTTGGAATTTTTGCAACCGTGCATTAAAAATATTTCGAAGCTTGTAAAATAAAGAGGGTAATTGTGACTTTTTATGTCATAATTCGGACTATTTTTTGTATTTTTGGATTCTAAATTATGAGATATAATGATATAGATTGATGATGGCTTGACAAAACCTTGCACACCACGCACAACCTTGAGGCGGATGGGCTACAACAGCAGAAGACCCCACTGGGTGCCACTAATTTCCACTACAAATAGGAAAAAGAGGCTACAATTTGCAAGAGCTCATCAAAATTGGACAGTTGAAGACTGGAAAATATTGCCTGGTCTGATGAGTCTCGATTTCTATTGAGACATTCAGATGGTAGAGTCAGAATTTGGCGAAAAAAGAATGCGAACATGGATCCATCATCCCTTGTTACCACTGTGCAGGCTGGTGGTGGTGTAATGGTGTAGGGCATGTTTTCTTGGCACACTTTAGGCACCTTAGTGCCAATTGGGCATCTTTTAAATTCCACGGCCTACCTGAGCATTGTTTTTGACCATGTCCATCCCTTTATGGCCATCCTCTGATGGCTACTTAAAGCAGGATAATGCACCTCACGTAACTCGAATCATTTCAAATTGGTTTCTTGAACATGACAATGAGTTCACTGTACTAAAATGGTCCCCACAGTTACCAGATCTCAACCCAATTGAGCATCTTTGGGATGTGGTGGAACGGGAGCTTCGTGCCCTGGATGTGCATCCCACAAATCTCCATCAACTGCAAGATGCAATCCTATCAATATGGGCCAACATTTCTAAAGAATGCTTTCAGCACCTTGTTGAATCAATCCCACGAAGAATTAAGGCAGTTCTGAAGGCAAAGAGGGTCAAACACAGTATTAGAATGGTGTTCCTAACAATTCTTTATTATATATATATATATATATATATATATATATATATATATATATATACTGGACTGGACTGGATTTATTTCTATAATTAATTGAATATCATTTCAACTAATTTTAAATGTTAGATTTGGTATGGAACAGTGTTTAAATATCATGGAAAATTTTAAAATGGCACTTCATTTCGAAACCGCTGCTGAACCAGACTTGCCGTATTGTAAACCACATCTTACTATCCACAATGCGGTGTCTCTCACATCTTTCGTAATTTGTTCTCCTGAGTACCACTTCGGTCATAGAGTGTCTCATCTTACAGTAACTCTGCTCTTTTGTGTGCTCTGTGGGACCTGCTAGTTTCTCCCCCTCTTATTGCAGAAATCCCTATTGTGTCTTTTGGAGCTGGAATACAAAGGGTGTCTACAGGGAAATATCTTTCAATGGCTGAAAATACCTTTTTCTCCGTTCTTAAAAAGACAATGGCTCTAACATAGAAAGAAAGAGGCTGCCACTCGGTAACACTGCAAGTTTCTGTGCTTGGATTAGTCCGCACCTTCCACACAGTGAGCGAATGACAGGTTCAACCCTGCAGTTTATGCATGAACGCAGTAGGTCCCTTTGCAATTAAACAAATTCTTGAAGACAGCACTGCACCTGTTGTTGCCTGGGCGATGGAATGCAAACCTATTGAGCATCAGCAAAAACTGAAAAAGTCAACTAATAACTTGGTTTAACCACATTTATTTATGCAACAAGCAATGGATTATAGTTCACTCATAAATTTTGTTTACATGTTCAACAACTAACATCTTTTTAGTGAATTTGCAACAGGTGCATTTTTTATTTGTGCAACAAGCACGTTTTTTTATTATTTTTGTGAGAAGTAACAGTTTAAGTGATTTTTAAAAAAATTGTGCGACAAGCAACAGTTTATAAGTTATTTGAAAAAATATATTTGTGCGAAAATAATTGATTAACAGTTTAGTGATTTTTAAAAAATAATTTATTTGTGCGGCAAGCAAAATTTTCGAAGTGGATTTGTTTACTTGTGCAACATGCAACAGTTCATGCTCAAATGTCTTTACATGTACAACAACAAACAACATATTTTAAATGAATTTGCAACGAAGACGATTATAAAAAACATAAGATTTATTATGAACTGAGAATAACAAGCCAACATACGAAACAGTTTTCTAGTGCACAGGCAACAACCAACAATGAATTGAGGGACCAAAGTACAAACAAGGTTAATAAGGAGACACAGCTGAACTAAGAAGACTAATCATATCAGTAACCATGACAACACATAAGTGGCGGGAAACTAGACAAAGGAAACGTGACTAAATGAAAACAAAACAAACTGAACTGACTGACAATAAGCAAATTTAACAAGCAATAGTTTTGATACATGAATTTGCTTTTGCGATAATTGTGTTAGAGAATTATGTGACAAGCAATGTATTACAAAGAAATTCATTTTCTTCTGTGACGAGCAATGATTTGTAAGCAAATTGTATCTAATTTTAAGCAACAACGAAAAACAAGCTATAGTTTATCGGGAAATGTTTGGCTGTACATTTTTAGCATGTTTTTATGTAACTCATATGAGACTGAACAACACTGAATATCATTTTATTCACATTTGTTCAAGTAAACTAAAGGCGGGAATGAATGGCTTCATGTACACCAACAGCCGAATAAAGGTTATAGGGCGTCACAAATGTCGCTTTATGTGATGTGGAACAAGAAAAAGAAACAAAAGGTGTAAAGCCGGGACTTTTTGAGCAGAGCCAAACCGCAGGTGGGGTTGAATTGAAGCATGGGAAGAGGTGAAGGGTGAGCTTGGTGTGAATTTCATTGCCTTAGGCTATATCCCAGCTAACAGAGATCATTCCTGCAAGGTTCTCCCAAAGTTATGAACAAACGTTCTTCCAGTAACGTTAATAGAAAGTTATCTGGTCTTTAATAATGTTCTCAAATCTTTAACACAAAATAATTATTAATACATCATTCATTGAGCGTGTTTTTTTTTCCTTAAACGTTTTAGTTGGACATTCATCTAGCATCTTTTAAATATCACAGAATGTTCAGAGACCGTTTAAATGTAACGTTCCCATAATGTGTGCAGAATGATAAAATGGAATGTTCGTATAACCAAGAAAAACTAATAAAAATCAACTTTTTAAACATTCAGAGAACAGAAATAGCAGACCTTAGCAAAACTTTCTTCGAACATGGCTGAAATAGTGTCTCGCGTGTCCACTCTGTAAAATTGTCACACTCAACAAAACACTCATCTTTCTAGAAACCTAAAATTGCATTGGACTCTTGCAGTGGTGGAATTTATGATATCATAAGATTACTTCACAAAGTAGACGAGATCTACAGATTGCAGTGAAGAGTAAAGCTCTTTATTCCAAATGACCACCCATCCCCCTCATCTACTAGCATTCAAAAAGTCTCCTAATGAGCAGCACACTATTTCCAAAGCCCATTGGTTGGATCAAACCAAGCAGCTTCCCAGTAGCCCGTCATGATGATTCAAATTTCAAAAGATAACAGTGTCTTGAAACACAATAAAAAGAAAACAGACGATGACTATATGGTGTGAAACCCGACCTTCGCTTTCCTGAGCTGAAACTGGAGAGTCCCTACCTGGGAAACCTGTGCCAAGAGGTGACACAATGGCTCTGGGATACAAGGCAGCGGATAGGATTTAGACTCCAAGTTTCATAGCCTCAAGTCATTAGACTGGTTGAATTAAACCTGCAACCAGCAAACCTTTTTAAATTTGAATAGGTGGAAGTGGTGACTAATATTACTCAAATAGACATTATTACAGGTCATTCTTCCTGCATATTCCTTTTTAAACATTATTTTTTCTTAAACCCATTAAAATAATTGCATTTCTGATGCAGAAACCTGTTCTAACATTGATTTCAGATGATGAAGCAAATAGAGACAAATGGCAGCATATGTTGCTCCATACAATAATGAGTCTAATATTAGTTTCTCCTGAGATTTGACTCGGCGTCGACTAAGCAACAGAGTGAGCGTGTGTTTGTTCGGCTGTGATCTGCTCAGTGGGAAATGATTAGTATGTCAAAAGTAAACAAGTGAGTTAATACTTGCATGTGAAACTCCAGATTAATCTTTGCTGAACCAGGAAACAGGTGAAAACTCACAGATGATAGTTTTAATGTATTGTAATGGAATGAATATACAGTAGATGGTTGTTAATTAAGAGATACTTCCCAGTCCTGTTTTTATTATTCATAAATCGGCATAAACTCTATGCTCTCTAAGGTTAGTTTACCCAAAGAGATTGCCTTTTCAGAGGTGAGCTAAGTTCTCCATTATGTTGTATCAGATTTTCCCCCCATTAGTTGCTTAGGAGAAATTAAAATGACAAAGTGTAGCTCTATAACATATGGATAGCATAACTGATTATTTGATCTGGAAAGAATTTGATGAGAAATATTTGAGTTCATATTGAAATCTTTTTTTCGAATGCAAAGTTTTGCAAATCTGAGTGTGAGACATAATTGAGATCTCTTCAGAAACTCCTGGGGAGACTTGTTTATCTAGAGAAGGAGTGCAATCTGTCAAGCGAGAGATTTCAGCAGATGTCTCAGTTTGCTCTCCATTTAACCTCATTGCTCTCATTCAAGTTATTTTATCTTTACTTTTGTGATTTCCCTGCTATTATATCGAAGCTGCCACAATAATGAATAAATACATAAATATACAAAGAAATGAAAAAATAAATAATAATAATAATAATTGAAATATGTTATTATCAATTTTATTATCAATAAATATGTTATATTTTTTATGTATTTATTTTGGCAGCTTTGGAATTCTATACTATTATATGTTGCCTTAAATTTTGAAATGAAACTCAGCTTTTCTCCTCAGTCTTGTATCGAGGAACTTGAGAATTTAAATTCCTTCTAAGCTCCGCCCCCGAACTGATTTTAATCCCTGTCACCATGGCAACTAAATTCAAATCCACACCACTGGCAGCAGGTACCATGACAGCATTTTTGTGCTGGCTTGTGGGTGTTTGGGCTGGACAGCAACAGGTTATATATCCCAAATCCCTTGGGATGCTGTCCATGTCCCTTTTTCCATGACCTCTGGCTTCCATGTAGGTAAAATAAACAGGCGCGGATGGACCATGATGCTGTCAGCTGTTATCTCATGCCCAGTTCTGTTTCCACAGTCTCTCCTCTTGGGAGCTCAGTTAATGATCGCTGTCACCGCCTGTTTTCATAAATACATCATAGCTGTACACACCATGCATCGGCCGCACACGTATTTGCAGATGATGGATTTTCAGTTTAAGTCAGTTTTATTTTTGATGTGGCTCCTGTGGTGAAGATTTTGACCGCTAGTCTCTTTAAATGACTATAGATTTTGAGAAACAAACAAGTCTTTGAAAAGCTCATTTGGTTGAATGAAAGGGAGATAAAGCGAGAAGAAAGAGGAGGGAGGGAGGGGTGAGTCAGCAAACACCGTAACTATGGGGCGCAGTCACCTGGCAACTGAGAGATAGAGTTTCAAATGCTAAAAAGATGTAGACTAAACACTCAGTCTATCTGAGCCTTGTCCAACTGAAATAGATTCTAAATTGAACACTTAAATGCTCAACGGGTATTTTAGATTTTTAATTTGTTTATTACATTTAAACAAAAATTTCTGTAAAACTATTATATTTTATTGAAATAAAATTTGATTTAAGTCTGAAACCAATATACTTCATTTGTTCAAACTCTCAATTACTTTTAATAGGTGTATTTTTTAATTAAATTGAAAATTAAATTGTAAACTTAATTTAAATAGACTACAACAAAATAATGAAATATACAAACTTTTTTATTTAAAAGCAAAATCGTTTACATGTGCTTACACTTCAAAAGATAGTTGCAAATTTGTTTAATATTTAGATATTTTGTAGCTTGTGGTAATTTTTGAAATAAATAATTGTTGAAATAAGTATAATTGATACGTCTACTGCAGAATATGTACGTTTTGCGTTTGTTTTGTACAAACTCACAAATACCAAGTGTATGTTACATGTTTCTTTTAAATTGATAATACAATTGTGAACTTAATTTAAATCTACTTATAATGAATATGAATAAAAATAATACTAATATAAAAATGTATCTGTTACCTCTGGCGCTGGGCGGGAAAAAAACATTTTTAGAAAAACATCTCGTGCTCTTAGAAAGGGGCTTCTCTATATATTATATATAAATAATAATAATATAAAAACTAATAATACTTGTAAAAATAAACTAATTAAAAATAAAATCTAACTCGAATGCACAAATGCACTCACTTTAATTTTATTTTTAATTTTAATTTATCATTTTATATTTAGCTATCCTTGTAGCTTATTATGAAAAGTTGTGTCTGCAACAAATATGCACTACGTTTGTTTTGTACAAGTTTGTCATTGCTTTTCCGACCCTTCCCTCTCCCGATGATGCCCAGGTCGAGTGTCACTTATCAAGGAGACATCACTGCAGATCACAGGGCTTTTACTTGAGGATGATGGCTGGTATGAGTGCCGGATCCTCCCGCTCGACAAAACCACAGATGAAGCTGAAAGCAAGGGGAGCTGGACTCTACTCTTTGTTTCAGGTGAGACTCACCATATCCAGTAAGAAGGCCTGAATTATTTATTGTATGAAGGGATATCCAATTTTACAAGGAGTCTGAATCTGAACCATCAAAGCATTTCTCTTTATGTCAGACCAGTGACACAATGCCATTATGCTCTTCTCTTGACTTCATTCAAACATGCAGTGAACAATGAATGAATACACAATCCAGCCTGTTTTCATGCACCTGTTACAGACAGTGCTCTGTGCACCTGTTCCAGAAGCAGCTCTGTCACTGTCGCCCACACCTTAAGGCCGTTCTCTGACACTCAGACGCAGTGTTGGCCAGATAAAAACAAGCCATCTAAGGCCTGTGCTCATATTCGGCTCAGTTTTCAACTTGTCAATTGTTTGAGCCACAGGACGCCAAGCAGAAAGAACATCTTGCAGGGCTGGCTTGACTCCACTGTGCCTTTCATTAAAGCAAAAAAAAAGAAAAAGTTGATAAAGTACGATTAGCGCTGAGGGCAGTGCTTAACAAATTTGGAAGCATAACTGATTTTAACATTAATAAGAACATTTTCTTGAGTATAAACTATAAACTCATTACATTTTAAAAGATATTCTCTCATGGAGAATATATTCGTTCTACATAGCATCACATTTGATCATTAATGAATCTCTGCCCTTCTTTGAAAGGTTGTGACTGTTTTCTTTGCTTACTTTCATGTCTAGCACCTCCTGTGCTTATGGAAACCTCACCTCCTGACATTGAAGTATTTGTAGGAAGATCAGTTACCCTGAAGTGTGCTGCCCGGGGGAATCCACGGCCTACAATATCCTGGTCTAAAGATGGAGGACCAATACAACCTCAAAACAGAGTAAAGGTGGGAATTTCTAACTAGTTAGCATGATCACATCTGATTTTGCACTTAAAAATGTCCATGAAAAAGGTTGAAATGAATCCTGTAAGTTTGGGTGGGGACATATCAAAATGCCTGTCTTTTTTTTTTTTTTTTTTTTTTTGCCGATAACCTTTACTTCACATAACAGCCTGAAAAAAAAATGATTTGCTACCTCTTTTTGCTCATTCTACAGTGCATTTGATTGGACAAAAATATGTATACACTCCTGCAAACAACATGAGTCATCTGCATTTTTCATCTCTTTTCATGGAAAAGAAAGAAGTTTGTTTTGTCAACTTTTAAAGTGTATTCTCTTTGACCTTTTTACGGACATCTATTAATAACAACAAAACCTACATTTTTGATTTCATTGGCTTAAATTCCCAAATGCAATGGATCAGGTTATACTACTCTCTTCCAGGCTTTCACAGACTCTCTCATATCTCTCATTTTAATCCTACAGATCATGAATGGAAGTGTATCTTTCCAGGCTGTGAGCAGAGAAACATCAGGCCAATATCAGTGTCACGCATCCAACACTGAAGGAACTGTAACTCACATCACAAAGGTCAAAGTCATCGGTAAGTCAGCATTGATGTTTGATTAGAACAATCCGAAAAGCATTGGGAAGACCAGAATAAATCTTTGTCATAAGTCTTTATCATTAATATTAATATTGATTTGGTGGCGTAACATTTGCCCTGTGATAATAACTGATTTGAAGGAAATCAGGTACGTGAACGCAAGCCATGATAGGATTACTTCTGACAGATCGTACATTTAGTTGATCGACTGCCATGTAACTGATTGGCAGAGCTTTGTTTGAGGAATTTAAAAATATTTTAAGACTATTAGCCAAAAAAGAGGGATGGGGTTAGTTTCCCCTTAATTGTGATGGTTTCTAACCCCCTTTGGCTCATGCCATTATGTTCTAAATGTCTAACTGTAAGCTTTTCTAAATGAATGCGCAATCTCTGCCATCTAGTGGTGCTGTTGCATTATATTACATTTAAGTGCACTTCTCTGTCACAAGGGTCTGTAGCTCAAAGAGTACAGTATGGTGCCAAGTCATGGGTTTAATTACCAGGAAATAAAGTGATAAAACATTATTGTCTAAAAACATTCAGAACATTACTGAAACATTACATTCAGTTTGCACTTAAGTATATATATTTTTAAACTATATTATTTTAATATTAAAGACTCTGTTTAAAAGCATGCTAAAATGTACTTTTTTCACAAGGAGAAACAGGTGAAAGTATTTTTCTACATTTTGAATTATATAATGTTATGTATTTTTTCTAACAACAGGCCCTCCAGTGATCGTAATCCCTCCAACCGACACTGTTCTCAACATGTCCCAGGATGCCAAGTTGAATTGCCAGGCTGAGGCTGACCCACCCAACATGACCTATGTGTGGCAAAGACAAGGAGAAGACATTCACCACATTGAGTGTGTTATGTTCTAAATCTGTCAACATTCCTCTTAATATTTACAGAGACAGGTAGCTTATGTATTATTCACCTGCGTGTTCGTTTTAGGTCTCTGAAGTCTCGTGTTAAGATCATAGTGGACGGTACACTACTCATATCACGTTTGACTCCAGCGGATTCAGGGAACTACACCTGCATGCCCACTAATGGACTTCATGTGTCCCCCTCTGCCTCAGCCATACTTACTGTGCAGCGTAAGTGTTTCTCATATCATGCTGTAAAATGAGAATAATGAACATGGATTTGCCTGCATTGGAATACGATTTCCTACACTATTATAACCCTATTTAACCATATTTATAATAAATTATAAGTACGATTATTTCAACAATTATGTTCAAAATGATGTATACATAAGATGTAGCACATCCAGGTGATGTTATTGAATTTGAATCTTCATTTCACATTCCAGATGTGCAATATTTAAACCACATAATTATACAATTTAAACCACAACCACGTGCCCCCTTGGTGCTTTTTTCAAAAGCATTAATCAATCTTACCAGCCCCATTTTTAAAAATAGTATATATATATGAAGAGTTCAGATGCAAAAGCCTCTAAATGCCATTTGAAATTTTCTTCTTTAATGATGATTTTTGTCGAACTTGTATATTTAAGTTCAGTAATTTCACTTAAATAACAATTAATAGGTAATTATCATTGCAATTTAAGTGAAATCACTGAACTTAAATATACAAGCTTGACAAAAATCATCATTAAAGAAGAAAATTTCAAATGGCATTTAGAGGCTTTTGCATCTGAACTCTTCATATATATATATATATATATATATGATGGGTACATATGACCCTATAGTAATTCTTATTGATAACTGTGTTCTTGTTTAACAGACCCAGCACAGGTGATGCAGATGCCCAGTCTGACCTTCCTCCCAACTGGCATGAGGGGTGTCATTGCGTGCCCCGTCAGAGCTGAACCACCATTATCACATGTAGACTGGATCAAAGATGGCAAACCGCTCGACTTAGACATGGTGAGTAACTGTAACTTGCTTTTTTCACTACATATACAAAAAACTTTAGCCTTTTATATGTACATTTGTATGAGAACACTGCTACTTCTAAGTGCTTTTTCTCTCTAAACTACTAATCCTTGACATATTGATTTTGATTTGATGACATACTTTAGAAAGACCTCACATTTCTCCAGAACATTATTTAAAAAAATTAATTCTTTCAACAGTATCCTGGATGGACACTGACCTCAGAAGGCTCTATCGTCATAGCAACAGCTAATGATGACGCTGCAGGTGTATATGTGTGTACACCCTACAATAGCTTTGGGACAATGGGCCAGTCTGAGCCCAGCACTGTTATACTAGAGGTGAGGCTTTACTGAGTGTTGTTATTTATTACTTTTTTTTTTTTTTTTCAAATCACAAGCATCACCATCTTTGACATTTTATCCCCATAATGTAGGGTTTACCTGAACCGCACACGTTTGTGTGTGTGTACAGGAATGGCTATACTTGTGAGGGCCAAATGTCCTCTTCTAGTGTATATATACAGTATATATATATATATATATATATATATATATATATATATATATATATATATTACAAATACAAATTAGACAGCTGTCTTACATTGTTGTTGAGGGGAAAACAGTGGTGGAATGCTTTTGAAATAAATTAAATATGGTCAGTGTGAGTTTTTGAGCTATAATTGAGGAGCCTTAAAATGTTTTGTTTTCATCTTTTAGGATCCTCCGTCATTTAAAGTTTCACCTCGTAAGGAGTACAGACAGGAAGTGGGGAGAATGCTTGTTATTCCATGCCAGATGGATGGTAGCCCTGCTCCAAAAGTCAGCTGGAAAAAGGTGATTGTCATTGCAGTCTTCTCTAGCACAAATCTCATGGCCATCGCCTGTCAGAGTGAAGTTACGATACCATATTTTTTATCACACACAAAAGAACAGTATTTAAAATAAACAAATGTTACCCCTTTTCAGTTATTTATATTATATATGTGTAATTAAAGTAAAATAAGTACATCTGTGATCATTTCTAACCAGTAGAAAGACTGTTTACAGTATCAATGTACCACAGATGTTGTTGACTGAGCTAAACACATTTATCCCAGAACATTTATGTCATGTTAAATCTGCAGTCCGTAGCTTTTTTTGGGTTAAAAATGATCTAAAATACATATTTGAGAAAATACAAAACCGATTGACTTGCTGTAAAATGCAAAAGACTTTGTTCGCACTTCGGAGTGGCTACAGAAAAAAAAAGGGACAGCAACTAGCCCCATGCGAAAACAAGGATAATATCGTAAGGACATTACATGTAGTCACGCAATGCTGACGTTGTTAACAAACTATAATTTGCACGGTTTTGCGATGACAAGCGATTGTTAGATTTAATTAGCGCGATTTACTGCAATGTCAGAACCAGAACAAAAGTGAATGTTTCTTACTAGTTTAGATGACATTTTCCAGTGAAAATTCTTATGTTGGTCATACTTCCAAAAAGAATAATCTGTGATTCTGAATGCCAGTATCCACATCAGCGCGGTGACTGACAGCTGCACGTTCTCCTCAAACATTGTGTTCATCTTCGCTGTGTCGTGTCGAAGTACAACTCGCGTTAAGTTGATAATACGCTGATTTCACATAGCCGCCATTTTGAAATGGCTCCGGTGGGAAGAAAACCGGAACTGTCGTCTTTAATCATAGGAGAGTCTAGAATGCGATGGCATATTGTTGTGTTTAATGTAGAAATTGGTTATTCTAAAAATGTACATACATTTATTTTATACTTTAGACTATATACAGTGAAATTTATTTATAAATAAAGTTTTTATATATAATTCAGAACGTAAAAAAGAAGAATTGGGTACGAACTATATGCATATCCTATATTGGATATTAACATCCAGTAGAGTAAATCGCGGCAGCAGCTTCAGGTCAGTAGTCCAAGGCATTGTGGTCTATCTGTACTTCCGGGGCTCTTCCCACCGGAGCCTCGCTTTCGATTTCAAAATGGTGGCTACATGAAATCAGCGTATTCCGATTTCAAACAGAGATGGCGACAAAGAGGAAAAACTGCGGACTGCAGCTTTAAAAGGTATAATATAAATGTTCAGCAGCAATATATTACAATTGCTTATATGAAACTGTGTTGATTAACGTGTAAAATCATAGCATAAATCCTATTCACAAAAACTGAGAATTAAATTTTTCTCCAAATATTGTAATGGACCCCATTACAGCTGGAAATAAATTTTCAATTAAAATGGGTGTTTAATCTTATTATATGCTTGATTATGGCACTGCTCCTCTTAGGTTGGTACAGCCTCTCGCTCACTGTTCACTGTCGCAGTGAATGGCTCCCTCATTTTACATCCTCTCAGTAAGGACCACCAGGGGGAGTGGGAGTGCAGCTCCACCAACCGAGTGGCTTCTGTTTCCTTCAGAACAATGGTCTTTGTGCTCGGTAAGTCTAGAAGCATCTGGGTCAGCACTACCACATGCAACCCTTAGGCCATTCTTATGTTAGTGTGATGTTTACTGTAACAGTAATAATTACTCACAGCATTCTTCTAATTGTAAAAAAGGGAAGTGTTTACATCACAAGAAATATTAAAACACAGGAATTATTACATGGTTAAGCATTCAAAGCCAAATAAAAGCCCTAAAGGGAATCTTGCCTTGTAGATGAGTAGTCCTGCGTAGTTCTGAACTTGCTCATATGTCACACATTTGTCGCACTTCATGTCACACATATCTTGTTTTTTGCTCATCGTTCTGTTTCACAGGTACAAGTCCTCATGCAGTGTCTTCAGTATCTGTGATCCCAGGAATTAACCAAGTCAATGTCTCCTGGGTGGCTGGCTTTGATGGAGGATATACCCAGAAATTCACCGTCTGGTTGGTGTCTGTTTATCATTGTAAATGTTGGGAAACAATTTTGAAATGTAGCCTTTCAGATAATATTGTAATAAGGGCAGCATTTGTCTGTTAAATTTATACAATGCAAAGTTGCATGTACAATCCAAAAAAAAAATTAAAAATTAAAAAGTCATGTAGCATTTTGTCATGCTACATTGCTATTTGTTAGCTAGAATTGTATTGTAAAAATAGTTAAAATAATTCCATGCTTCTGATTTTTTTTTTAAGATAAGTTAGTAGCCAAGTTTTCACTGGATGGTTTATGCCTGTCTTCATAAGTCTGTTTTTAAAAACTCATGAGAACATTATATTTCCAGGTATAAGCAGGTGTCAGCAGTAAGGCTAGAGGAAAAGCAAGAGTGGTTGTCTTTCTCAGACCTCTCTGCTGAGAATAGTCTGTTGGTCACCAATCTTCTTCCTGCCACTGAGTACCAGTTCAGTGTCATGGCTCAAAACAAAATTGGCACTGGACCCTTCAGTGAGATCACCACCATCACAACTATGGGTAAAAATTAGCTGTGTATAAAAACTCTATACTTTAAAAACCCTATGAAATTAGTTAACCAGCCTACTTTTATGCCCATAAATGGACCCCGATTGTCTAAATAATATTGCTATTAGGTGGCGTGTGGCATTAGGGGGATGGCATTTTGTTGGATAAATATAGTTTATAGAAAGAAGAGAAAGCCTGTAAATTTGAATATGAATGTCTCCTCATTTTTTATTAATATAGTCAACTTTTAGGAGTACATTAGCATAATCAAAGCCAATAGATATGGGATAAAATCCAAAAAAATGTTTTATTTTATTCATCTTTAAAACTAGCCTGTGTGTTGGCTACCTCATGGTGACTTAAATTAAATACACCATATATGTTTATGTTACACACTGTGGATAATTGAATAAAAACAAGCTATTCATTTCAATCTCTTCCTTATTTAATATTTTTCTACAGATGCACGTCCTGTTGTGGCCAAGCTGGAACCCCCTACAAATCTCTCAGTCAATAAGAGTTCAGAGGGAATTCTTCTGTGGTGGTCAGCACCCCAGTCCCAGTCTCCACCCATTGACAGTTTTATCATACAGTCACGCCTTGAGGGTGGGGAATGGGTTAATCTGAAAGAGGACATTAGCCCAGTTGAGAGTCAGATCTTTCTTCAGGGGTTATGTAAGGTAAATATTCTCAAATAAATTTTCATGAATCAACTTGCCATTTTTGCTTTTCTTTTTGTCTTTCTTTCTTTTCTTTCATCCTTATTTGTCATTTCCTCATGGTGTATTACTCTCTGAAGGACTGCAAGTATGAACTGAGGCTTCTTTCTCGGCATGGAGATCAGCTGAGCATGCCCGGTCCATCAATCAGTGTCTCCACCATCGGTTAGTGGTTCACACATTCCTGTGTTTTGTTCCCCGGCCTGTTATATTTTCTAAAGAAAATGTTCTAATTTAATAATTGAAATTTGCACAACACTGTTTACACAAACTATTTTCAAGAAAACCTCAAACTGTTTCAACCCATCCAACTTTTAAATGTTACACTTTCTTTGGGCTCCACAGGAATGAATACGCACCCAGCCAGTTCCCGCCGGCTAATGGCTGGTGTCATAGGTGGAGTGGGACTACTTTGCCTTGCCCTTATCCTGACCCTGGCAATAGTTTGTTTAATTTTTTACAAAAGGGGCCGAAGGCGCAGGCAGAATATCAAGGGTAAAGAAACAACACTTTGAACCGCTTAGAACTGTTTTTAAAGTCTGCCTCAATGTATCCACCGTAGAGGTTGCTCTCACTCCTGAAATTACCTTTCATGCATGTTCAATTATCCTGACAATCATTCCATTGTAAATTTGTTTCCCTTATTAGATCTCCCTCCTGCCGTAAAAAACAACCCTTCTGTTAAGTAAGTGCTCCACCATCACCTCTCAAAACCATTTTTCTTAGTCCAAAATGTTTCCATTCATAGTAGAATGTACTAAATTCTTATCCTAACCTTACCAGCCATGACAACACCCTGAAGCAAAGGCTCCTACCAGCTCGTCCAGTCTCCTACACTTCCTCCTCTTCCAATCACTCCTCCCTTGACAAGTCCGGTGGCAGTGATTGTCATGCCCACCACCAACATTTCCTGCCTCAATCTAATCCTCCATCCCACCATTCCCTCCCCGAGAGCCATCTCCAACGGGCATCGCTTGCCCCTGTGTCCTCTGTGGAGTTCATCCACAGAGGCCCAGATGGACGCTTTATTGTCCATGCTCTTGAAGATGACAACATTGTCAGTTCTCAGATTAAGAGAAACCAAAGTCAAAACTCCTATCGGTCATCAGATGGAAACAGCAGCTTCAAAATTCAGAAATCCCAGTCTTTGAGATCCTACATAGATGAAAGAAAAAAGCCACCCTTTGTCCTTTCGGTGGATCTTCCACCATTTAGATCAGATATTCCTTCTTCCAGTAGAACACAAGCTATGGCTAAGCACCTTTCGTTAAATGGCCATTACATGCCCATTTGGGAGCAAGAGATCTTGAATGGACCAGACCAGACAAGTCTTTCGTCTGATGGCAGTGACTATTTTCTCTATCCCCACTCAGAAAGTACTCTGGGTCAACGGTCCTTGAAACAAGGTACCAACCACTCTGCGGCCAGTACCCTCGTTTTGCAGATGGAGCATGAGAGGGAACAAGGAAACTTAAGTCGCTGTTTGACTTTGGCTCGTGAGAGAGAGGAGCTTGAAAGAGAACTGCGCAAGTTCACTGTTGATCGAAATCCATCAGATACTGAGACAGATAATGAGTATGGTAAAGTCTGGAAAAGTCAAGAGACTTCAACACCTCGGATTAACTACCAAGCCATAAGACAAGGCATTTTATCTGAGAAAACCAGCATTTTGAAGGGAAGAGCTGCCTCTTGCATTCCGTGGGAAGAAAGACACAGGATTTCTTCTGCAAGCTTGGTACCCCTACATACCTCTAATGGAAAGGATAGCAAGTATAGGCAGAATCAACAAGGTTATCATACCATCCAGAGATCCAACTACCAACGGTCTCGAAGTCTAGACAGAGGGCAACACCAAAAATCCCAAACATGGGACCGAAGACGAAGCAGGACGCCCGTTGATTCAAGTTTTGGTCGTGTAATGGATGAACCCTTAAACTACAATTTGGGCAAGACCCAAACTGCTGTAGAAAATAGAGCCCATATGACTTCTAGCAGAAAGCAACAATATTTTGACTCGCATTTTTGTACATCCTTAGATGATCAGCGGGAGCGGGCCATAGAAAGAAGCACTAGACAGATTATTCCAATTACTGATAATTCCGAGATGAGTGTGGATGGACCTGATCTTGAGAGCCAGTCTCCTTATTCAAGGTCCATACAGCGGTTGGACCACAGTTATGAGACTCTAGACTATGACAGACCCAAGTTATCAGAGCTTGAAAAGGACAGATCAGAAGAGTCAGGACATGTGAGAACAAGAAACCAGGAGAAGTGGAACAATTGGTCAAGCAAAACCGTATCTACATTAAATGTCTCTGGAACAATGCCTAGGAAGACAAAGACCCATGGGCCAAACAATTGGAATCGGCACAAGAGCATGCATAGTTTAGACTCTAAATTATTCAAGGACCATTTTTTGGCCCCTGATGCTTGGGTAGATTCGCTGACACGTAGTCAAGATTCTACAATGTCCCCCTTTCCGTGCAGACCCAACTCTGTGGCAGATAAGCCTAAAGGTAGTCCCAAATTGCAAACAGATTCATCTGTGGCTTCAGAAAGTCAAACACAAAATCAACATCTTCAGGCCTCTGAATCTCATGATGGCTCCATCATTGACTCACAATCCAGCAAAAACCTAGGATCAGGACATAGCACCCATACTGCTTTATTATCTCCAGGGGGTTCTAGCTGGCCTCTGTCTTATGGCCCCTCTCTGTCAGCCTTGCCATCTGGAAGACAGAGCCAGAGCCAAGAGGTGGAAAGAGGGGAGGAAGTTGAAAATGGGCAGGAGGTGGATGTGGAAATTAACAGATACAGGAAGAGTTCAGAGACGGAGGGAAGTTATAGAAGTTATGCAAGCCAAAGCAGTGGCAGAGGCAGCATGGATGCCCCTAACAGCAGGCAGTTATCTCTCAGCCCCCCTCTCACCAGCTCTCCAGAGACCACAGAGGACAGTGACAGAGATGAGGCGGCTCTACATGGGCCTGAAAGGTAACACTGGCTTTCCTTTGTCTTTATCTTAAAAGTGGTTTTGAAGGATTTTAGATTATTATGGGTAATTTTATTACAAAAAGTGATGTGTGTCATGTGTCACATTGGACTCAACGACATCGCACGTTACTTTATCTTCCGACTTAAGATCTAGAAGAGGCTCTGTGGATGAGATTTATGAGTGGGACTCTACTTATATCCAAATGCATCCTGTGGATGCCAAAGTGTCCATGAGCAAAGCAGGTCTACGAAGAGATCTTCAGGGTCAAGGGAAGCTGGGCAGAACTACCAAAGATCATGGCATGCCAGATGCAGACCTGAAACAAAAAAGTAAGAGAAATGTTTGCTTTGTATTTTAACTCAGTAAAAAGCTGTTCCTTCACTAAATACATGTTTGTTGGACATGTTACATTGGCGATACCATGGTTTTGTGGGCATGTACCATGCTACTACCATGGTGTCCTTTTAACACACCTTGGTGTACCATGCAAATACAGTGTTATATGAATATACTAATCCTTATGTAATACAGCATAACCAACACTATCTCACGACCAATTCGTACGAATTCGACGCATGATTAAAAATTGTCTAATTCGTACGACCTCACTCGTACTAATTTGTACGATTTGTCTAAACCCACGTGATGGTTAGGTTTAGGGGCGGGGTCAGGGGTAGGTCATTCGTACGAATTCATACGAATTGGCCAATTCGTAAAATATGTACGATTTAGCAAAATCGTATTAATTCGTACGAGTGAGGTCGTATGAATTGTTACGAATTAGCCACTTTTTAATCATTCGTCGAATTCGTACGACTTGGTCGTGAGATCGGGTTGGCATAACTGTACCTTGAAAATAATGCAACTCTTTTTGACTGTGAAAGTCAAATTATGAAGACCAGTTCAAAAAATCTGCTCTTGAGCTCTTTATGGTTTTATTCATCTCTATTGTCTTTTTGACCCAAGGTCTTTACCCTCTGGCTGGTTTGAAGGAATCGGTTCCACTCTTTGAACATCCCAGTATTCTTCCTCCCCACTGTGAGCAAGAATCAGTCCTTGCTCATGAGATTCGGAAGAGCTTCACATCATTCCCAAACCCAGAGCCCAACACTGTGCTTTTCTGATCATTAACAGTAGGTACACCATTCATCCTGATCAGCCTGCACTGTTTTCATATTAGCCCCTAGACTATTATTAAGTAGTCCGAAATTGTGTTGATACACCTAAGATGTTTAGATTTGTTTGTCAAAACTGTAGCCAAATGTTTGTATGTTCTCAAATTTGCATTGGACACAGCATGGTTCCCCTCAACACAGATCTTAATGGTCAGAATAAAAGGTGACATGGGTTGTCACAATTAATTAGACGTCTCGGGACCACTCAAGCACACTGGAACCTAAGAACACGCACTGCTATGTCCGACTAATGGACATTACATTAACTGTAGGATGGGCCAGACCCCATTGAAGAGAAATGTAGTCTAAAAATATGATGTGCTGGAGTTCAAAATCAAAGTGGAATAAATAATACAGGACTCTCTGCACCCCTGCTGTTGCTGATGAAACTGAATTTGAATTAAAACATGTTAAAGCTGTTACAATGAGCCCCTTTCAAATTTGATTTTTGAAGTTTGATTGTTCTTTAATTCCTATTTTGACAGAAAGAGCACATTATGATTTAAAAACCTCACCAAAGCCTTTTTATGCACGGTTATAGGGATATTTTATCATGTGAAACAGGATGCTGAAAAAAGTATCATTTTTAGCTATACCTTCAAGTTGTCAAGCAAATTGGAGATGCATTTAAATGTGATTGGAGTAATGCTTTTGCAGAAATGACAATCATTGGTCCTCCTTGCATTCATGCAGCATCCACTCATACCTACCTCATACATGGAGGAAGCTAATAAACAGATTCTCTTTTAGATTGCCACTGAAGAAATGGTTCAGGTCACGGTTAATTACGCATCACTGTGCTCTGTAGTCTGGCCGCTAATAAGTCTGCCAATGCAAATTTACATTTACAAACAGAGCATTTACAACTGTTTACAGTTTAACCAATCATTTCACAGCTCCACTTTTTTTTTAAATAATCAAAACATTTTAGAGCAATTAAATTCTACTTGATATGCTTTTATTGGTCAGAATGCTAGAAAACACATACAGTATATAGCACATACAATAATTGCACTGACATAAATTCCGCTAGTCTTAATTTTCTGCCAGTGTGGAATGTCTTTGCATCTACTGCCTACGGAGAAAATGCATTGATTATGGTATCTTTCCAAATACGTCTATATGTAATTAATTTCTATCTTTTAGCTTTTTAATTAAAGCCTATTTAAACAAGACTTTACAAATAAAGGTCCTTTTCTTTGTAGAAAATGAGGATTGGTCCAATTGTTTGCAACCCTATTATTATGTTTTTGGAAACAATTTGTACTTACATTTTTGTTATTTTATCAAATTATGTGTTTTATTTCATGTATGTGGATTTATATATTGATTAAAGAGAACAAAATATATTTTTTTTTTGTTGGTGTGTAGATACTACAAAGCCAAAAGTGAGTTGGGTTCTTCTATTTCCACTAGGATGTGCTGCACTTTCACAAATAGCCTTTTTTTTCTGATTAAAAAAAAAAACTTGCAAGCAATTCAAGCGTTCTTTAATTCTATATAGAATGAAAGAACGCTTGAATTGCTTTCAAGTTTTTCAAAAGCCTCTGTAGGAAATTCTGACATTTAAAGAAAAGGAAGAGTTATTGCCATTGTTTATCATTTTGATCACAACTTTTCATCTGAAAGTTGTGAGCTGTGGAAGCCAAATCACTTTATTTTTTTCTCTATTTTTTTCTTCTTCCGTTGAGCAGCAAGATATGCACTTTTTTTTTCATTTTTGAACTCTCTTTTAGTGATTGAGTGAACTGTGAAATCCTGACAGGTTACAGGCGGTCACATTAGCATTTGTACTGAACATAAGGTGCACAGCCTCCATCATTATCTAAAGCTTCTAGCAATGCCACATGCTGCATTAATCACAGCTGAGGTCCATAAAAAAACATGCATACTGCATTTCTCTCAAACAGTTTTCCACTTCTTCTAGTCCATCTATGTCTAAATTCAGTGTAATATGGCACTCATAATTAGTATGCATGACTTGTATATAACATTAATAATTAACCACACACAAAATGACTAAAGACCTCTCCTTCAAACGTGTGCCAGAAACACCATCTAAAAAGATTCATTGTGAAAGGAATACCTTTCCTTTCACGTATTTCACACATGCATATTGCACTACATCACCCAAACATAAAAATGCAGTTATTTACTCACCCTCAAGTCATTAAACCACTTTGACTTTCTTCAGTGAAACACAAAAAGGATCAATTCTGTGCTGAGTGATATTTTCTGTGCAATTAAAATAAAAGGCGACTGAAGCTTTCAATCTTCACAAATGATAAAAAAAAATTGTATATATAAATGAACTGTTATACTGTATTTCAAGTCTTCTGAAGTCAAGGTTTTCCGAGAGGAATAGTATAAAATAAAGGGATAGTTATCTTCACAAAAAAAAAAAAACTTATATAAGTATCTTAAAATGTTTTATATAAATGAACTATTATACTGTATTTCAAGTCAAGTCAAGGTTTTCTGAGAGGAATAGTATGAAATAAAGGGATAGTTCACCCAAAAAATAACATTCTGTCATCATTTCAAGTTGTTCCAAACCTTTAACATATGGAAGCCAATGGGGCCCATTAACTGTTTGGTTACCCATATTCTTTAAAATATATTTTTGAGTTCAGCAGAAGAAATAATTCAGGTTTGGAAGAACATGAGGGTGAGAAAATAATAAATAATGAGTACTTTTTTTTTTTTTTTTTTTTTTTTAATGGAACCTTTGGTTCCTTTTTATTAAAATTTCTTTCCTCATTGTTATTCCATGGATAAGAGAATAAAAATCATCTTCAACAATTTTTTTTTTTTTTGTCTTGCAAAAAAACTAATCTTATACATGTTTGGAACAACATGATACGAGTACATAGAATTTTCGTTTTTGGGTGAACTATCCCTTTAAAATGCTGCATGTATAAGATCCTTCCGGTGACATGACGCATTGACTTCAGTTTAATTTCCCAAATTCTTATGAGATTTGATCTGTTCTTACCTCGGCCTTTTGCGGTCATGTTGACCTTAATGCAATATGTCACTAAAGTGGCCATTTGCCATTTCTTCTCCGTGCCCTATAGCCCTTACTGATTATCCAATCACATTGTGACACATCATTCATAGGCAGACTGTAAGTGGCTCTAGAGTGGGTCTTTCTGCCTGCATCAGGAAAAAAAAAAGAGAAAGCAATGAAGGTGTTCAGGAAGTTGTTTCTTTCCCTCTGGCCATTCACATATCGATCCAGTGCGGAATAAAATTACTGTGACGACTTTGTATTGGGTCATTTCCAAGAAAAGTTCTGCGCAGCCAGACTTTAGACCTAAGGCATAGTTTTGTCCACTTTACAGCTTCTTTTGGCCAAGAACTGCCCAATTAGACAGGAAAAGACTCTGACGAACTTGTAAAGCAATTTGTTTTATTTTTAGTGTGTTCTCTAACTGAGCAGATTATACAGTTATGCTAGTGAATAGCAGTGTTACTTATCATGAAGATAATAAATAATAAATTCGTTTTTAGTAGGTTTTTTATGTCTAAGTTTTTTTAAATACATTTTTAAAGTGGATGTCTTTTTTAATATTCTGTTAAAAAACTATTTTAACAATCTAAACTCATGATCTAAAGCACTTCGGGCATGTCCGAATCCACTTTTGCTATATAACGGCGAGAAAAAAAAACGTTGGCGGGGTTGTCTTTTTTCTCTTAATGAGTAATGGGTGTCTTTTGGGCATAACATGCAATAAACCAATCCTAGTCTCATCTCCCATTCCCTTTAAAAGCATGTTGCGCTCGCTTCATGGCGGGTTTTACATGGCAGAATTTGCAAGCGGAAAGACTGGGCGCACAAATAGAGACGAATGCATTTGCTATTTAAACAATGTGGTACAGGATGTGAAAATGATAACTGCGTCAGGCTGAATCTAGCAAAAAAAAACAAAAAAAAAAAACACTTGCGTCGCGCTAGGTGCCCCATTGCACCGAGTGTATGATAGGGCGATTAATTTTATTTTAGTTAAAGGAACACTGTTTTTTTTTGTTGTTCAAAATTTACAAAATTCTAAGAGTGAGTAAATACATAATCAATTCTTCTTCCAAAACGTATTTTTGTCTTACCCTGATTCACGATGGTAAGCGCATGGACTTCAAAGGATGCGAACTTCGGACAGAACGTGGTGTAGTGGGATCTTCCAGCCTACGGAGGAGCCTTCGAACTGGGACAGCCTTCGTGGTGCCACTGTGACTTCGAAGGATGCAGCCTCTGATTTGGGACACAGCTACAATCTCCTAAAGCCAATATTAAATGTTTAATAAGTAGTAGGGTAACCATATTCATCCACACAGTCAGGCAGAGCCAACGCACAACTAAAACAATGTTGTTTTTTTTTTTTTTTCGAAATGCATGCAGATTTTTTGAACACCTAGATGGCCAAATTTTAAGTTAATTAATTTACCTTCATTTTTTTTAAAGGTTTTAGTTAAATATGATAATCCTGGTGAATATCTGGCATCCTTGCTTTAAACATAATAACGTTCCAGCCAAATCCATTCCATTGATCTTGACATAGGTCTACCTCCTGAATTCATAAGCAAAGAGACCAAATTAGAAACAGGAAAAAAAAAAAAAGCTTGAATTGTACCACTTAGTATGATGTCTCCAGACAGATCGTTTGATTGACTGAGACAGCTGAGTGTGATTATGTCAATCATTCTTAAAAGCTGTCAGGTAAGTACCCCCCACAGCAGGAATAGGCAGATTTTATAGTCCAACCGCAAAAAAGAAAGCGTGAAATCAGGTCAGACCTTTTTGAAACATTTTGATTGGGAAAATGTCTTGCTGTCTCTCCATTTGTTGCCTTTGTGAAAGTGTTTGCCGAGGTGTAGAACCGTTCACCATATGGCTCATTGTAATTATTCTTTTCAGAGCTGCCTTGGGTCTTTTCTAAATCACCTTGTGTCAACTATGCATATGGTATATTGTAAGACAAAATATAGTCTGAGCAATGTGAATTAGCATTCTGTTATATTTGTTTATTTTGATTCACTTTTCATGCAGAATTTCCTCTGTACTGTAAGTGAGTCTTTGAGTGTTGAGTGATGTAGGCCTATGAATGAACAGATGAACAGCTATGAATATCTCGAGGCATAATTTCCTCGCATACTTACATGAAGTTTATTTCAAGGCTGTGAAGACCTTTGCAGTGCGACTCTATTGTAATCCTGGTCAAGAGCCAGACTTGCGGAAGTCTGTGAAACTGCCTCTATAAATCCAAATATAGTTACTTCCATGTCAATATTCTCCTTCCAGAGTTTTATAGCTAAAGCTGGAAAAGATTGGCTCCTAGTATGGGGCATCCGGGTCCTGGTATCCTGTGGCTTGGCTGATTAAATAGAGTTGGAGAATGACAGTCCGTCTGTTTCTGATGATAACAAACCTTATTCAATGACTATTTGATTCCTAGAAATACAGAAACTGCATCATATATACATCTGGCAGATCCAGACACCCCTCTGATAACTTATTGAGATCCTGACTGTTTGCAAAGGGTTGAAAGAATGAATTGGGACTGCATATAAATAAGTAAAGACGGACTATGTACTTTTTAAGTGAGCGGAGTATGTGAGTATATTGCTGGAGGAAGGTCGGTTGCTCTGTTGCAATTAATCTTTTTTCACTGTATTGAATTGCAGCAAGAAAAGAGGCCAAATTATTTAAAGGTTATTCGGTTCGTTTCAAGTTGGCCTTAATTTTTGGTAACAATCAGAATCTTAAGGAGTGAGAACAGGTGCATATTGAGATATGCCTGGAGAAATTGAGAAATTCATAACAGAGGTAAATTAAGTTCACCGGCTGTAAGTGTAGTGTGACAGAAAATTATGCATATTTGGAACTGAGAAATTATGAATTCATGAAGTCAGTTTGTGTTATTTGAACACTCTTCTTCAAAACTGCATGTACCCGTAGTCTTTTTATATTATTATTATTATTTTAAGGGAAAAAGTGTATGCCAATACCACTACTATTATTCCATCTTGATTATGGATATTGTTATATAGTGTATATCAAGTTCACAGCTGTAAGTAACAGAGTTATACAAAATTAAGACTGAAATTATGAATGCATGAAGTGGAAAATCTTTCAGTTTGTGTATAATCAAGATGCAATAACAATAATTGTATTATTTTAATTGCTATAGGGTTTGGTTTAGGGTTAGTTGCATTTGATTATGCATAATTTACAGCACATGTAACACACTGTAAAATAAAGTGTCAGCGTGTATTATGATTTATAATATAATCCATTATTATAGCATCTTGATTGAAGAAAAAGATGAGAAGACCTGAAGTGACAGCCGGTGTCTGAATGGACATATGAAGGTGAATGTTTTTTTATGCTAATGAGTTTAGCTTCATTCCCAAAGGGATTGTAAAATCTTTGGTTAATCGGTGCA